ATTTTAACTTATTTAATCTTCCCGTCTCGTCAGCATCTTTGCACGTCTTTTCTTTTGAGCAAGACGGGCCTGAGAAATTAATAAACGAGCGCCAGATATTTCTTGTGCAGAGTCCTCAGCACGTGGCCCGCCGGCGGGTAATTGCGCGTATACATCACCGGGCACCTGTCACCCAGCCTCACCTCCCTCCCCGCCCCCGAGCGTCGCGCCCTGCGCCCTCGCTCCTCCGTCTCCGTCCGTCTGTCCGTCCGTCTGTCTCCCTCGGGAGAGGATTTATAATTCGGGTGGAAGTCAGGTTACTTCTGTCACGTGAAGCAGTGCGGTCAGCTAGCTCACCATGCACACATGTGCACACACGTGAGCACACACACGCAGTCACTGAAAATCGTCATGGAAGTGTGCTCTTCAGTGCGTGAATCTCAGAGGATGGGAGTGACACCTCACCACAGTTGTTGAAGCCCGGCCGGTGTGGCTCGGTGGTTGGGGAGGTCAGGGCCCAGGCCCCGGTTTCAGGCTCCATCCCCGTGGGGGGCAGGATCCGTTTTCATCCTTGATATCTCTCTCTCTCTCTCTCTCTCTCTCTCTCTCTCTCTCTCTCCCTTTCTCTCTCTGAAACCAATAAAAACATATTTTTTTAAATAAATCAATAGAGCCCTAACTGGTTTGGCTGTGGCTAGAGCGTCCGCCTGCGGACTGAAGGGCCCCACGTTCGATTCCATCAAGGGCATGTACTGTGGCTGATCAATGTTTCTCTCTCATCAGTGTTTCTGGCTCTCTGTCCCTCTCCCTTCCTCTCTGTAAAAAATCATTAAAATATGTTGTTGTTTTTTAAATAAGTAAATAGAAAAAATTACCTTGGGTGAGGATTAGCCAAAGAGAAATACAGTGTGTGTGCAGGGTGTGTGTGTGTGTGGGGGGGGGTAATGGGTGGATTGGAGGTGACCCCTCGAGTGTGTCCAGGGCAGAAGCGATGGCACCGGGTGTGGGTGCCGGGACCGGAGCCGCAGGGGGGGCTGCAGGCCTGGGTGCAGGGACCCGGAGCCGTGGGGGGGAGGGGTGCGGGCCTGGGCGGCGGCGGCGGCAGCGAGGAGAGGCCTGGGTCTGGGCTGCGTCCGGGGCGGGCGGCTCCGGGCTCCGCTCTCCGGGTTCCTTCGCGGGAACGGAGACCGGCCGTCGCGGCAGCTGCGTCCGGAAGCGCGATCAGGAGAAGCGGGAGTCGCACAGGGGGCGGAGGGAGCGGCGGGAGGAGCCGCTGATGACTCCCGGCCACAGCCAGGTGCTTATTTCCATCCCACGCACACGCACATGCACACGCACACGCACACGCACACACACACGTGCACACACAGACACACACTCACGCACACACCTGCAGGCACACACATGCACACGCACATGCACTCACACGCACACACACATGCACACACACAGACACACACTCACGCACACACCTGCAGGCACACACATGCACACACATGCACTCACACGCACACACACACAGAGACACACCTGCACGCGCACACACATGCACACATGCGCACGCGCACACACACATATGTGCGTGTGCGCGCATGCGTACACACATGCACACATGCACGGATGGGCACACGCACTATTTTTTATCTGTTGCGAAGCCATCGCCGCCTCTGTCAGCACCGTCCCCACCGCAGTCGCTGTGTTTGTTCTCGAGAAGCAATTGGCCAATTTCCTGCCGGCAGCCGGCCCGCCTGGTCTTGCCCCCAAATCCAATTTCTCCGAAGAAACGAAGGATCCAAATGTGTGTGTGTGTGTGTGTGTGTGTGTGTGTGGGTGCTCGCTCTCATTTCAAAGAGTTGCCACCCTCCCCCTCCATGCCCCTTTTTCCCTCTCCCCCACCTCCCTGTGCCACAGGCCGGGCTCGGGGCCGAGGTCCAGCGTGAGGCCTCGCTGACGGGCGGACAGCCCCTCCATGGCCAAGGTCAGGTCTGGGACCGAGGCACTCGGTGAGATGGACAGAACACGTTAATGAGTGCATGAGTGAGTGAATGAGTGAATGAATTAATGAGTGATTGAATGAGTGAGCGAATGAGTGAGTGATTGAATGAGTGAGTGATTGAATGAGTGATTGAATGATTGGATGAATGAATGAGTGATTGAATGAGTGATTGAAGGATTGAATGAGTGAATGAGTGAGTGATTGAATAAAGGAACCATCCTGGCCGACATCCGGTGTCCCAGTGGCCGTGACCATGACCTTGGTGAAAGGTCACGTCCCCGGAGCCCATCCCGTCCCCGGCGACCGGCCGTGTCTCCGGCTCCCTATCTCAGGATCTCAGACTCAATTTCCGCCGGCGGGCCGCGGCCTGGGCTCCGGGCGGACGCGGGCTGACGGAGGACACAATTTCCCGCTCGGTCGGCCGGGCTGACGGAGGACACAATTTCCCGCTCGGACGGCGGCAGATAAGGAAAAGGGATGCGGGGAGGGAGGCGCCGGCCGGGCTGTCAGTGACGGCGATGGACGGGCCGGCTGTCAGCGAGGCCGTCCCCTCTCCAGCGGCCGCGGGAAACCGGAATTGACTTTCCCAGATCAATAAACGTTACTCACCGCCTGTCTCCGGGGAGACGGGAGGAGCAGGTGAGCGGGGATGAGTTGGGGGGTTTGGGGGGGCGTTTGTCGTGGCCGGGAGCTAGCGGGTCAGGGAGGAAATACGCCCGCAGCTGGTGATGGCACCGCTCCCGGCTCGGGGCTCCCCGGCTCCGGGCTCCCCAGAATGTGAGCTGAACTCACCAGGAGCCGCTCCACGCGGGGCTGGAGGCCGGGGGTGCGGATGGGGGTGTGGCCAGGGGTGCGGATGGAGATGCGGACGGAGATGTGGTCGGGGGTGTGGCCAGGGGTGCGGCCGGGGGTGCGGCCGGGGTGCGGCCGGGGGTGCGGCCGGGGGTGCGGCTGGGGGTGTGGCCTGGGGTGCGGCCGGGCCTCCTGCAGCTCCTGGGGGCGCCGTCCGTGTGGTCAGCCCCGGGTCGGGGTCGGAGGCGCGCGGACGAGGCGGCAGTGACCCGGGTCTCGCCCCGGAGGAAGCTGGGCCCCAGGGGGCTGGGCCTGGGTGACGGAGCTGTGGGAGAGGCGGGGAGCGGGGGGCGCTGGAGACGGGGCTCGGGTCCACATGCTGGCGGGCCCGCCATCTCCCGCGGCGGATCCTGAGGCCGGCCTGGCCGCGGGGAGGGCTGAGCTTCCTCCGGGAAGGGAGGGTGTGAGGTCAGGCAGAGGCGGGAGGAGCAGGAGGAGGTGGGGCCATCCTGTCATCACAGGGCAGAGCTCCCAGCGGGTCCTGTACGTCCAGCCGTCTGCCTGCCAGCCTTTCTGTCTGCACGTGGACCCGTCTGTCCACCCAGCCATCCGTCCGGCCATCCATCGTTTCATTTACTCATTCCCTCACCATCCATCCATCCCATCATGCATCTGTGCATCCGTCCACCCATCCATCGTCCATCGTCTATTCATTCCTCCATTAATCACCTATTCAACCATCCGTCCCTCCAGCCATCGATCATCTTGTGTGAGCATCCATCCATCACCCATCTGTTCATCCACTTATCCATCCATCTGTCCATCCATCATCCATCCACCCATGTATCTACCATCTTTCTCTCATCCATTTATTCATCTATTCATTATCTACCTATCTGTCATCTATCTACCCATCATCCATCTGCCCACGTCTCTATCCATCCTCCTCTCATCCATTTATTCATCTATTCGTTATCTATCATCTATCTATTATCCATCTTCCATCCACCCAGGTATCTACCATCCTTCTCGCCTCCATTTATTCATCTATTCATTATCTATCTATCTGTCTACCTACCTATCATCTATCTATCTGCCCATCATCCATCTATCCATCCATCCACCCATCCATGGAAACTCAAGCTCCAAGGAGATAAATTCTTGCCAAACATCACGTGGCTATTGATTAGACCAGCCCTAGATCCCCCTGTGGCCACACTTTCCGTCCAAAACCAGCGGTGGCAGACCACACTGCCTCCTGGGTAATGTCTGTCCGGTTTAGCTCCCACCAGCACGTCAGCTGGCTCCGTTTCCGGTCGGGCACAGGCTCACTCCCCAGGCCGGGGCGAGCAGGAGGAAGTCCGTGGATGTGTGGCTCTCACGTCGATGTGTCTCTGCCTCCCCCTCTCTCTAAAGCTCAGTAAAATAAACGACTTTGGTAAAGAAAACAAAACAAACACGCACTCACCTCCCGCAGGTTCTGAGTGTGTTCGCCTCACACTCCTCCGTCACCCCCCCTCCCCCCGCGCGGTCTCAGGTCGGCCCGCGTGGCGTTCCCGCCGAGCAGTGATGCTTCCCATGGAGCCTCGGCTTCCGTGTTTCCGTCTGAAGCACATACGTGTTTGGGAGCCTGCGGGGTCCCGGAGGGGCTGGTTCTGGAAGGATCCTGAAAACGCTGCCCACGTGGACCCCAGCGTGTTCACCCCTCGTTCCTAAATCACATACGGAACCCCACTGTGTGGCTCAGGGGCTGAGCGGCGACCTCCGACCCAGGAGGTCAGGGGTCGATCCCCGGTCAGGGCACAGGCCTGGATGGCGGCTGGATTCCCGGTGGGGGGTGTGCAGGAGGCAGCCGGCCCATGACCCTCTCCCATCATGGATGTTTCTCTCTCGCTCCCTCTCCCTTCCTCTCTGAAATCAGTAAAGACATAGATCATCACAGCTGAAACCGGTGTTGCTCAGCGGATAGAGCGTCCGCCTGCGGACTGAAGGGTCCCGGGTCCGATTCCGGTCAAGGGCATGGACCTTGGTTGCGGGCACATCCCCGGTAGGGGGCGTGCAGGAGGCAGCTGATCGATGGTTCTCTCATCGATGTTTCCGGCTCTCTCTCCCTCTTCCTTCCCCTCTGAAAAAAATAAGATGTGTTAAAAGTGATTTTTATGTAACGAGGACTCCTCGGTGCGGTGACCATCCTGGTTCTCTCTCCCTCTCTCTCCCTCTCTACCGCCCGCAGGGATCGAGGGCCGCGGGGCCCCGGACGCCGGCCCCGGGGTCTCCTCGCCGCTGCCCTACCTGCCCGTGAGCCTCCGCGTCCTCGGGGCGGACGCCGCCTTCCTCTTGAGGGGGGCGCCCCCGGACCCCGCGCCCAACGCCAGCCTGCAGGCCCGCGTGGAGTCCTTCTTCGCCTACCGCGCTCCGCGGCCCCCGCTCCTGCTCGCCAGCCTCGGGCCCTTCTCCGCGGAGCGGGCGCTGCCTCTGGGCCCGGCCTCCGCCTCCGCCTCCGCCTCCGCCTCGACCTTGACCCCTGGAGGCCCCAGCGGGACGGCCCCGCTGGGCTGGCGGCTGCGCGCCCACGTCCTGCAGGACAAGGTCTACCCGGGCCGGCCGGTGGCGCAGGTCCTGTTCCAGGTGCTGGGCCGGGACTGGGCGGAGCCGGAGCCCTCGGACCCGGAGCCGCTGCCCTGCCTGCGGGCCTTCGCCTTCCGGGAGGCGCGCGAGGTGCGGGCCGGCTGCCGGCCGCGGGGCGCGCTGGCGCTGTGCGTGGCGGAGCTGCGGCTGCCGCCCGGCTGGTTCGGGGCCCCGGCCGCGGGGACCGGGAGGCGGCGGCCGGCGGGCCCGGAGGAGGGCAGCCCCGTGGAGCTGTACTACACGGTGCACGCGGCGGGCGCCGGGCCCGAGGGCTGCGCCGGCGGCGGCGGCGGCCTCAGGACGGGCAACGCCATCCGCGCCGGGAGGGACGGCCGGGGGGGCGGCCCGGAGGACGCGGCGCCCCCGCTGCGGAGGGCCGGCACCGTCCGCCTCCTCCGCGCCCAGGACCGCGGCGACCGGCTCCGCGAGCTGCGCCTGGACGGCCACGTGGCCGTGTGGCTGCCCGCCCGGCCGGCCAAGCCCGGGGACGTGGTCACCGCCTCCGTCACCGTGGCCGGCAACTCCACCGTGGACCGCTTCTCCCTGAGGTGGGTGTGCGGGCGGGCGGGCGGGTGCATGGCCTGGGGCTGCGGGGTGAGCTGAAACGCGTACGGGTTAAGATCCGTCCGGAAGATAGAGACGACCCAGACGGGGCTGTCCCCCTGGCCTGAGGGCCGTGGTCGGCAAACCCATCCGTCCACAGAGCCGGATACCAACAGCACAGCCATGGACATTTCTTTGGAGAGCCCCGTTTTTTAACGTAAACTGCACAGGCAGGTACATTGTTGACGTCATTAGGGTCCTCCTAAGCCGGCCTTTGCTAAACACTCCAGGGGCCAAAGAGCCGCGTGTGGCTCTGGAGCCGCAGTTTGCCGACCAGGGCCCTAGGGTGAGGGTCGCAGCTGGGTCCTGGGCCCTTCTTTCTTTCTTTCTTTCTTTCTTTCTTTCTTTCTTTCAAAAAAATATTTTATTGATGTTTTACAGAGAGGAAGGGAGAGAGATAGAGAGCTAGAAACATCGATGCGAGAGAATCATCGACCAGCTGCCTCCTGCACACCCCCCACCGGGGATGTGCCCCAACCAAGGTCCATGCCCCTGACCGGAATCGAACCTGGGACCTTTTAAAAAAGAAAAAAAAAACATAAATTCACAGTTTTGGGAGAGAGGGGGGGACACAGGTACAGGGAGCCACAGAGAGGGAGGGGGGAGAGAGGAGGAGGGGAGAGAGAGAGAGAGAGAGAGAGAGAGAGAGAGGGGTCGCCCAGGTCCTGGGGGCCCCTGGGCCCCGGTGAATTTTAAATGTTTGCTTCCGCTCTTCCTCCCTGCAGCCGGGCTGTGCGGAGCCTCTGATGCTCACAACCCAGCAATTCCCGCCGAGGCAGGGAGCCGCCGGCCCGGCCTCCCTCCCTCCATCACTGCCGTCGGCACAGGCACCGGGCCGGCCTGCAGAGGGAGGTGATAATGGGATTTTAGGATCCGGGAGGAGGGCGAGGCCCGCTCCCGCCTGGAGCTGCCGCAGCCTCTGCCGGACCAGCCCGGCCGGCTCGGCGCTCAGAGGCTCACCGGGACGGGGTCTCCCCCCCCCCCCAGCTCCATTCCCCTGTCCTTTCCCGCCCCGGCGGGGGGTGGGGGGGAGGACAGCTTTGCGATGATGTTTAGGGAGTGGAAGGGAGGGGAGGGGGAGAGAGAAGTCAATTGGTTGCCTCCCTCGCTCTTCCCGAGGTGCATGCCCTTGACCCCACATTGAACCCCAGACCCCTGTTGGCAGGCCACCGTTCTAACCCCTGGGCCACACCGGCCAGGGCCAGATTGTCTTTTAAAGAAGGCTCCAGGGCCCCGGCCGGCCGGTCTGGCTCAGTGGATAGAGCGTCGGCCTGTGGACCAAAGAGTCCCGGGTTCGATTCCGGTCAAGGGCACGCACCTCGGTTGCAGGCTCCCTTCCCGCCCCCCTTTCCCTGAGGGACACAGAGGGGCTGTCTGTCGGGCAGAGGGCACGGGTCCCCAGGGGACAGAACCGGACCTCAGACGCAGGACTGAGCCACGGCTGAGACACCAGGGAAATTAAAAATATGCATCATCCTGTGTTAATTATGCAACAATATGGCAGCAACACCTTTTATTAAAATGTTTATTTTAGCCCGGCTGGCGTAGGTCCGTGGTTGAGCGTCAACCTCTGAACCGGGAGGTCAGGGTTCGATTCCTGGTCAAGGCACAGGCCCTGGTTGTGGGCTCCATCCCCAGTAGGGGGCGTGCAGGAGGCAGCTGATGAGTGGTTCTCTCTCATCATGGATGTTTCTCTCTCTCTCTCTCCCTTTCTCTCTGACATCAATAAGAATATATATATTCGCCAAAACTGGTTTGGCTCAGTGGACAGAGCGTCAGCCTGCGGACTGAAGGGTCCCGGGTTCGATTCCGGAAAGGGCATGTACCTTGGTTCCAGGCACATCCCCGGTCGGGGGTGTGCAGGAGGCAGCTGATGGATGTTTCTCTCTCATCTATGTTTCTACCTCTCCCTTCCTCTCCCTTTCTGTAAAAAATCAATAAAATGTATATTTTAAAAAAGAATATATATATATATACTTTTTTTTTTAAAGTAAAGAAGCGGAAAGAGGTGGCAGCGGGAAGGCGGGCCCTCACTCGGCGCTCTCTCTCGCTGTCCCCAGAGCCAGGGTGAAGAAGGGGGTGACCGTGCGGGGCGCGCGTCCCAGCGAGCCCGGCCAGTGGGCGGTGCGGCAGGAGCGGGCGGCCGGGGGCAAGCTCAGCACCGGCGCCAGCACCGTGGTCTGCCAGCGCCTGGCGCCCGGCAACAGGTAGGTGAGCACGAGGTAAGCGCCGCCCAACCCCAGAGGGCGCGACTGACCTCCGGCCCGCGGGCCACCTGCCCCCACCCCGCCCGCGCGTCAGAGCTGGACGGCTGCCATGACGGTCCCCGGGGGCAGGGCGCGGGCTTTGGCGCAGAGATGCGTCAGCGAGGTCCTCCTGTGCATGGCCCAGGCTCAGGAGTTAATATACATTAACAACGCTGAAACCGGCGTGGCTCAGTGGATAGTGTCGGCCTGTGGACGGAAAGGTCCTGGGTTCGAGTCCGGACAAGGGCATGTGCCTTGGTTGCGGGCACATCCCCAGTGGAGGGTGTGCAGGAGGCGGCTGATGGATGTTTCTCTCTCATCGATGTTTCTGACTCTCTCTCCCTCTCCCTTCCTCTCTGTAAAAATCAAGAAGATATATTTTAAATATATATTAACCAGAAAAGAACAGAGCGCGTTATCGGGAGAGCAGAGGGAGGGCGGGCGGGGTGAGGGAAGCCGTAGGAGCGGGTTTCCGTCCTCCGGCGGCTCCCTGTCGCCCGGCGTCACCGCAGACACTGCCGTGCCACGCGGGGGGAGCGGACAGGCAGCGGGGCGGCCGGGCGCCCGTCTGGGGGACGATAACATTCACGCCCCGTCTGAGCGTCTCCTCTCCCCGTGGACGCGCGCCCGGCCCCGGTTCACCCTCATTGTCTCCGGGCGGCGAGCACGCTCACGCCGCTGCCCGAAATAGAACGTGATTACCCGGTGTCTCCTGCCAGCGCCGCCGTGAGAGACAAAAGGGAGAGGGAGCCGGGTCCAGAGAGGGAGCCGGGCACAGAGAGAGGGAGCCGGACGCAGAGAGGAAGCCGGGCGCAGAGAGAGGGAGATGGACGCAGAGAGGAAGCCGGGCGCAGAGAGAGGGAGATGGACGCAGAGAGAGGGAGCCGGGCGCAGAGAGAGGGAGCCGGACGCAGAGAGGGAGCCGGGCGCAGAGAGAGGGAGATGGACGCAGAGAGGAAGCCGGGCGCAGAGAGAGGGAGCCGGGCGCAGAGAGAGGGAGCCGGGCGCAGAGAGAGGGAGCCGGACGCAGAGAGGGAGCCGGGCGCAGAGAGAGGGGGCCAGGAGCAGAGAGCCTGCATCTTTTTTTTCTTCTACGTAAACGAACATATTTCAGGAGGAAACACTGTGTCCTCCCTGAACATACACACCCGGGCAGGCCCGGTGGCTCCGTGGGGAGCATTGACCCAGGGGTCCCTGCCCGGGTCGCGGCTCCATCCCCGGCGGGGGACGTGCAGGAGGAGCCAATCCAGGGTTCTCTCTCAGCATGGATGTTTCTCTCTCCTCCCCCCCACCCTGAAATCAATTTTAAAAATAAGGAGAAATGAAAAAGTATAAAACAAAACAGACAGACAAAAACGCCAGCGTCCGCAGCCCCGGGAAGAGGCAGACAGCAGGACGCCGTCCCAGCGCCGGCCGCCAGGGGCGCTCTCCCCCTCGGAGCGGCCCCTCCCGCGGAGGGCCCCCCCCCCCCCCAGCCGGGCTGATCCGAGTCTTTGTGGGAGCAGAGGCTGCGTTTGAGATGGAATGTAGGTCACGCCTGGAAGCCAGACAGCTGCCTGCCGCCTGCTCCCGCACGGGCGTCGCTGACAGTCATCGGGGGGGACCCCCGCACCCCCCAAAGGCCTGGCCAGCTGGAGCGGCGTCTGGCCAGCGTTCAAGGCCTCACTGAAAGGTCCCTGTCAACGGGAATCCTCAGCTTCTTCCTCGGCCAGCCCTCCCCCCGCTCCCCTCCGCCCCAGACCCCGCCCCCCCCCCATTCTTTCTCTCCCCTCCAGAACATTCTGCCTTCCAGGCTTCCTCCTCCTCTGATGATGACGATGGGTTATCAGGTGAAAGTATGTCCCAAACCCATCCCTTCCTCCTGGAGGGAAATTTTACGTTTCTTTTCATTTTTTTTTTTTAAATAATTGAGACAGCTATTTTTATGCACGATATCATGTCATCTGCAAATAAGGATAACTTTACTTCTTCTCTTCCAATTTGGATGCCTTTTATTTCCTCTTCTTGTCTGATTGCAATGGAGACCGCTATTTTTAAATCCAAACCATGTCCTAAAAGCACTGCTCTGAAATGGGATTTTTTTTTTGCGCATGAACCCTGCGGGGGCGGGAATCGAACCTGCAACCCGGATACGTGCCCTCTAGTGCCTGGGCCAATGCCCTAGCCGCTGAGAACACCGGCCCGGGCAATGACGGGAACCTCCAAACGCCCCGAGCCCATGGCCACGCAGGTCCGAGTGCGAGAACGTAGCTCGCAGTCTGTGTCGACACGCTGACACATTTAAGATCTTCCCTGGGAAGTGTGAACCCGCCCGCCATGTTCACCAGCCCTCGCCCCTTCAATGACCGCGTGTTCCCATCGACGGCACACGCCCTGTCTGAGCGGCACGGCCACACGGACGCAGACGTGGACAGTGGGGTCTCTGCACGGTCTGCCCCAAACAAGAACAGTTCTGTTGGGACGGTACCCACCAGTGACCTGACAGATGGGGAATGTGTGGCTGGCGACGGACATCGCTTTGAAGGAAGCACTTTTGAGGTTTCTTTGGTTAGAAAATCTGCACTATGAACAGTCTAGCCATTTAAAATGCGCTCTAGCTGCCTCTACTGAGCTGGAAAGTTCTCTAGGAAATATTGCAAAGAGAAGAAAAACAGAAAAGAGAAAACAGCCAGGCGCCAGCCCAGCCGCGCCTGTGGCCTGCTCACACTCCGGGTTAAAAACGGGAAGAACCCCGGCCGGTGTGGCAATAGAGCGTCGGCCTGCAGACTGAAGGGTCCCGGGTTCGATTCCCGGTCAAGGGCACAGGCCTGAGTTGCGAGCTCTATATCCCCAGTGGGGGTCGTGCAGGAGGCAGCCAAGCCATGATTCTCTCTCATTATGTCTCTCTCTCTCTCTCTCTCTCTCCCTTCCTCTCGGAAATCAATAAAAAATATATTTTTAAAATGGGAAGAGATGCTGTCCCATCCAATTTCATGGTTGAGCCTTGAGGACATTATGCTCAGTGACATGAGGCAGACACAATAGGACACTCTGCACGATTTCACCTCCACGAGGTGCCCAGAGCCATCAAACCCGCAGAGACAGGGTGTGGAGGGTGGGGGGTGACGTTGGGGAGGGAGGGGGCGGAGTTTGAATGAGACCAGACGGAGCCGGTTCTGGAGGGGGTCGGCGGAGCTGAAACAGCCACCTTCCTATCACGTGTGCTCGGCCACCATTAAAAGTAAAAAGCAGGCACGTGTGTGCACATGGACAGCCCCGGGGGGAGGGCCCCGGATGGGGGGGAGGGGGAGAAACTTTGTATCCTTCTCTGCAGCTGTGACTGTTGCTCCTGTGTGTGCGTGCAGGGTAACAAAGTACCTTTTTAAGCGTCAAGAAATTGCAAGCAAACCGTGACAGTAATCAAACCCGCGGGCAGCAGCTGCTGCGGGTGCATCCTGCGTGCTCGCGTGTCCTCCGCAGCGCGGAGGCGCAGGCACGCGTGGCCGGCGGACACGGGAGGGATGTGCGCCGCAGGCCTGTGGAGGGGCGTCTGTGGGGCAGCCGCCGACCTACTTTGCAAGCTCGGCCCGGCGCTCCGAGGTTAACGGTTAACGGCTAACGGCTAACGGCGCTGCGGCTGCGGGGAGAGGGGACCCGCTCCACTCCTCCTCTCTCCGCAGCAGGCAGAGCTGCCCGCCCCCCCACACCCCTTTGTGCTGCGCCTTTCCTGGCTGTTCCCTCCCCCTCTCCCGCCCCCTCCTCTTCCTTTTAAGAGAAACAATCAGGGCTCTGGTGGCAGGAAGATTGCGGCCGATATTAAACAGGCGCCCGAGTGACAGAGGAAGGAGATGGAGAGCTGGGGGAAGGCACGTGACCTTGAACCCGAGAGACAGCGCCGAGCCGATGGCCGCGTGTTCCCTGCCCTGCACATTGCCCCCCCCCCCCGTGTCCTGCACCCCCCCCCCCCGGCGCCGCCCCGAGGGCCTCTCTGGAGCCAGTTCAGGTGGCCCGGCCGCGGCTGTCCCTCCCCCGTGGGCGCAGGGACATGAGGTTGGGGAGGGGGTGCAGGGCCAGGGACCGGGAGACCCCAAGTCCAAGTCTCTGCGCCTCGTTTCCCTCTCTCAGCGCGGCGCGCAGGGATCCGTTAGGCCTCGGAGGGATCCCGATTCGATTCCCGGTCAGGGCACCGTCCCCGCGTGCGGGCTCCATCCCCAGCGGGGGGTGTGCAGGAGGCAGCCGGTCCATGGTTCTCTCTCATCATGGATGTTTCTCTCTCTCTCTCTCTCTCTCTCTCTCTCTCTCTCTCTCTCTCTCTCTCTCAATATATTCTTTTTAAAAATAAAAAGTAGCCGAAACCGGTTTGGCTCAGTGGATAGAAGGATCTGAAAGGTCCCAGGTTCGATTCCGGTCAAGGGCATGTACCTTGGTTGCGGGCACATCCCCAGTAGGGGGTGCGCAGGAGGCAGCTGGTCGATGATTCTCTCTCGTCCATGTTTCTGACTCTCTCTCCCTCTCCCTTCCTCTCTGTAAAAACTCAATAAAATATATTTTTTAAAAAATAAAAAGTAGAGGTGTCCTCGGCCTCGGGTCCCTGCAGTCCCGGATGCGGCCGGACACGTGCGCCGGACTGACTGTTGGCGGCCCCAGCCCGGCCTCCCGGCCACGCGCCCGGCCCCCGGGCTCCGCAGCCAGCGGCCACGGCGGGCTGGGCGCCGCTCCAGACGCGTCTGTCTCCCGTGACACGCGGGGAGCGGGTGTCAGCGGGGTCCCCGGAGCGCGTCCCTCCTGGCAGGCCTCCCGTGGGCTCCGCACTCCGTGCCCGCCTGGCAGGTCTCCGGTGCGCTCCGTGTCCGCCTGGGCAGGACTGATAGCGCCGGAGGCTGCCTCTGCCTCCCCGCCTGCTCTGGGGAGACGGATGCGCACCTGCCTGGGGCGGGGGGGGGGGGGGGGGGACCTGGCGGGGAGCCACCTGGTCCCCAGGCAGCTGCGCGGCGCCTCCTAGCGGCCAGCGCTGCGAAGCGCGAAGGACAGACCTGAGCCCAGGAACCCGCCCTGGAGCAGGAGGAGGAGGCGGGTCGGGCGGCCGGGAGGCCGGGATGTGATGGGAACGCGGGTTAGAAGGCACTGAGGGGGGGAGCGCGGGGTCTGTGCCCGAGAGGCCCGGGGGATGGACTGGAGAGGAGGGAGAGCCGCCTGGGGGAGGAGGGACGTGGAGGAGGGACGTGGCTTTCCGGCTCCGGGGGCCAGCTGGGGGGGTGGGGGAATTAGGAGCCGGCTGGGACGCACAGAGCCGGGCTGGGGGAGCGGGGGGGCAATTAGGAGCCGGCTCGGGGCGCACAGAGCCGGGCTGGGGCAGCAGACCCTCCCGCGGGCACACGGCACTCCCCTGAGCCTCACAGACACCAGGTGCGCCCGGCTGCCCGGCTGCGTGGGGAGCGGCGGCCCCTGAACCCGGAGGTCCCGGTTCGATCCCGGTCAGGGCGCAGGCCGGGGTGGGGCCTGCAGGTGCTGCCCCAGCAGGCGTGTCCTTCCCCCCAGATCCTGTCCCGGGAGGCCAGGGGGGCAAAGGGGGGGAGCAGGCGCCTCCAGCCCCCCCTCACGCCCTCCCCGCCCCCCGTCTCCCCCCCACCCCCCCGCAGGAGCAGCAGCACCGCGTTCCACGAGGTGGCGCAGCTGAGCCTGGAGGTGGCCGGCGGCCTGTCGGGCTCGCAGCCCGTGGTCTGGCAGCTGGAGTACCCGGGTGTGGGCGCCGTGGGCAGCGCCCTGTCCCAGATCTTCGTCAGCCCGCGGGACCTGGCGGGCATCGTGCCGCTGGCCACGGTAAGGCGCGCGGGCGGGCGCGTGGGCGGGCGGGCAGGGTTGTGGCCGGTGGCCTCCCGGGGCGGCTGGAGACTCACAGGCCCAAGGGTCACGGCCCGCCTGGAGGGGCGCCCCTGTCCCGTCCAGCCTTCCCTGGCGGCGCTCCGGAGAGAACAGGCCCGGCTCGGCCTGCGGGGATCGAACCCTGACCTCCTGGTTCATAGGTCGATGCTCTACCCCGGAGCCATGCGGGTTCGGTTCTGGTCTTAAAGGTGATGGAGCCTGACCGGAGGCGAGAAGCCCTGAGGCTGGCGGGGGCCAAAGGTTTGCGTTCATCCGGGAGGCCAGCAGGGGGCAGCAGGGAGCCCGGCTGGCGACCGCGCTGTCTGGGGAGAGGGGTGCCGCCTGGCCCGCAGCCTGGGCGCCCAGCCATCTCATTACTCAGACCGGCGTTGGCTGGTCCGGACCGGAGGCCATTTTGCATTTTCCCGTCCCGCTTTTACAAGGAGAAGCGGCCGGCTGCCCTGATCGCATGTAAGTCAGTAATTAACGGGACGCCGGCGGCTTGCATCGCGGGTGCGTGCTCCGCCGCTGCCTCCCGTGACCCCTGTCATTTCTTCAGATTTTTCTTCTCCCTTTTTCCCCTCCCGTTGGGCATGAGCCAACGCGCCTCCTCCTGACCGGCCTGTGCTTCGGTCCCGTTTTAAATTCTCTCAGCGTCCGGATGAGATTCGATGTCTGAGCCGCGTCTCCGTGGCTCGGAGCCAGGACGCACCAGAGGCATTTATTTAAAGCCGGGATGTTAGCGGCCTCGCCATGCCCAGCGGCGCGGCGCTGGGAAATGCCAATTAAAGGGCGTGGAGCCCGGCCGGCGGGGCTCAGGGGCTGAGCGGCGACCTAGAAACCAGGAGGTCAGGGTTCGAGTCCCCGTCAGGGCACAGGCCCCGGCTGCAGGCTCCATCCCCAACAGGGGGCGTGCAGGGGGCAGCTGACCCATGATTCTCTCTCACATGGATGTGTCTCTCCCCCCTTCCCCCCCCCCCCATTCTCCCTTCCTCTCTCTCTTAAATCAATGGGGGAAGTGTTCTCAGGGGAGGGGGAAAGGAAACATTGCTGATACAGCCAAGCACGGTGCTGAAGGCGGCTGGCCTTCCAGAGAGAACTTGCAGGAAGGATCCGTTTATGAAATTTATCCAAAGGCAAACCGGTGGCGACGGAGCAGAGCTGAGCTTCGCGAGGGAACAAGCCTGTTAGAATGGTTGCCTTGTACCATGGGGCTGTGTTACCCCAAACGCGCCCTGGACCGGCCAGGGTGTCGGGGGCGGGGCTGTGACTGGTGTGGATTCAAAAAAATCAGTCCTATTCCCCCCCCCCACCCCACCCCGCGCGGGGCGGTGGCGCATCGCCCGTCTCCGCCACGAGGGGGCAGCGTCCTCCATCCCTTCTGCGGCAGACGGTGCGTTTCACTCTATAATTGTGGCCGCGGAGGATTCCCAGGGGTTTCGGGTGGATCTGGGGAGGCCGTGATGAAGGGCAGCGTGAACCCCGTGCCAGCAGCTAGCGTGGAATTCTTCGGGCGCCGGAAGTGGGAAGTCACCGGCCTTCGTTCCTTAGCATCTTCCAGACCGATGCCCCATGCCCCATGCCCCACGCTCCATGCCCGGGCCTAACCTCAGCGCCCGCCCCTCTCCCGGCCCGACCCTCAGACATCCCAAATCCCCGTGGCCACTCTCCCCTTTGCCCGTATTACCCAGAATTCATTCCTGGGCCCACAATCCCCAACGCCCCTGGATAAAAGCTGAGTGGGGCCGCAACCGGTGTGGCTCAGTGGATAGAGCGTCGGCCTGCGGACTCAAGGGTCCCGGGTTCGATTCCGGTCAAGGGCATGGACCTTGGTTGCGGGCATATCCCCAGTGGGGCGCGTGCAGGAGGCAGCTGATGGATGTTTCTCTCTCATCGATGTTTCTGGCTCTCTATCCCTCTCCCTTCCCCTCTGTAAAAAATCGATAAACATAAAAAATAAAAAAGCTGGGTGGGGACCAAGCAATGCCACCCCCTTCCTCCCGGAAGTGAGTGCAGATGCCCTCTGAGGCGGTGGCAGCGCTGCCAGGACAGTTTCCCGGGAACACAACTGTCACTGCCCCCGCCGCCCCGCAGTCTGCACGCCTCCGCCTTCCCGGCGGGCGAGGCCGCAGAATAAATACGATAAAGGACGTGTCTCCGGGACCCGGTGCCCCTGCTCCGCGCCCTCCCGGCGGGGGCTGCTGGGTAATGGCCCCGCCGCCGCCTCCGCGCGGGGAATTGCTTTCTTTGTCTTAAATGAGCGCTGCCGCTCGGCATCTCCATCCTGCATTAGCGGCAAATTGACGGGTAAGTGAGCCGGGCTCCCGCGCCCCCGATGGCGCTGCGAGCGAATTGGAAGTAAATGAGGTGGGAGCCGCGGCTCCCCGGCCCGCGGAGCCGGGAGGATGGGCCGGGCCAGAGTCGCAGAGCTGAGCGCGGGGTGGGGGGGGATGAGGGGGGGTCCTCGGGGAGGGGGCGTGGGGGCCTCAGGATGGATCCGCTAAAGGGTGGACGGACGGTGGGAACTGCCCGCAGGGAAGTGGGGGTTGAGGCTGGATTGTAACTTCCTGTGAGCGAGGCGCTGAGCAGGGTCCTAGGCGGTGGACACCCACGGGCCTGGCCCTTCCAAGGTCACCTCGGCCAGACCCACGACCTTGGCGGTCTGGCCGGCCCAGCAGCCCTGCAGAGACCCGCGGAAGAGCCGCATGAAAAAGTAATTGCTTCGCTGGAAAGCTATGACCTTGTTAGAACCATGTCATCCCCGTGCGTTTATTTTTTAAAAAGTAAAAATAAGCCCGCAAAGAAACCAGGCGGTCAGGGTTCGATTCCCGGTCAGGGCACAGGCCCCGGCTGCAGGCTTGATCCCCCGTGGGGGCCATGCAGGAGGCAGCTGATCCCTGATTCTCTCCCATCACGGATGTTTCTATCTCTCCCTCCCTCTCTGGCATCAATAAAAAATATATTTAAAAATGAAGTAAAAAAAAAAAAGAGACATTTGGACAGACACACGGAGAAGGATGAATCTGCCAGCGGGGGACACCAGGGAGGTCTCCCCCCCCCCCCCCCAGCCAGAGGCGGCGAGGGGAGCCGTGTCCTGCGGGTTCGGGGTTCAGGAGGGAGGCAGGCCCGCCCCCACCCCACGTCCCGCTCCAGCCCCAGCGCGGAGCGGGGATAACCCTCCGCGTGCTGAGCCGGCGTGTGAGGTTCAGGCAGCCGCAGTGGAAGAGGGAGGGGCGGGAGCATCCGTGATGGTGATGACGGCTCGGACCTGCGGGAGCGGAGCCGGGCCGCCGTGATGCGCTCCGGGCGGCGGCTGCTGGGCCGAGGCGCAGGGCACGGGGTGGGGGCGGGCTCCTGCGTCCCATCAGGACGCTGCACGCCGGCGGCTCCCGGCGGCTCCTCCTCACGCACTGCTCACCGTGCGAGGGTCTGGGAGGCTCTGCAGAGAGCCGGCCCCCCGGGGAGCCGGGCCGGTGCGTCTCAGTGGACAGAGCCTCGGCCTGCGGACTGAAGGGTCCCGGGTTCGATTCCCGGTCAGGGCACAGGCCGGGGTTTCGGACTTGACCCCCGGTGGGGGCGTGCAGGAGACAGCACCCAGGGCTGGAGAAAGGTGGTCTGAGGCTCTGCCAGGACCCTGGCTCGGGCAGCCGGCCGGGGAGCGGGATCCTGCGACACGTGGCTCTTCGTGTCCGGTGTGGCTCTCCGTGTCCAGCGTGGCTCTCCGTGTCCAGCGTGGCTCTCCGTGTCCGGCGTGGCTCTCCGTGTCGGGCGAGGCTCTCGGGCAGCAGTTCTCAGCGTCCTCCGGGTCATAGCCGGCGCCCGGGCTTCCCTCCTGTTCGTGGCTGCAATATTCCACCGCGGGCGCCCAATGCCTCTCCATCCCTGTCTCTTCTCCTGAGAAGCCGAGGGTGGTCACACCCTCTCCCGGTCTGACCTCTCCGTGGTCCCTCCGCCTGCCTCGGTCTCAGGCTCGGGATGTAAGCCTGCTCTTTTTTTAAAAAAAATGTTTAATTGATTTTTTTATAGAGAGGAATTGAGAGGGACAGAGAGCTAGAAAAATCGATGAGAGAGAAACATCGACCAGCTGCCTCCTGCACGCCCCCCACTGGGGATGTGCCCGCACCCAAGGTCCATGCCCCTGACCGGAATCGAACCCGGGACCTTTCCGTCCGCAGGCCGATGCCCCATCCACTGAGCCACACCGGTTTCGGCTCAGCCCGCTCTTTATCCGGTTAAAGACGCGTCTGTGCGACCACAGAAGACGCACAGGCGGTTCGCATGTTGGAGGGAGAATCCAATAACAAGGCCTGTTTGCTCAGAGCCCCGGGCTCCCTGAAAATTGGAAACGACGGTGATTGAAAGGCCCGGCTCCCGCGGACTCTCTCCGGCGGAGCACAGCGCCCCCTGGGGGCCGTGGGTGGGGGGGCCGCCGCCGGAGCGGAGAGGAGCCGCTTAGTCAGGCAGGGAGCCCCCTGAGCCGGTCCTGGGGGTCTGGGCTCCGGCTCAGAGGGCCGCAGGGAGCAGGGGCCGGGCGTCTCCTGCAGCGCCCCCTGCAGGTCAGGGCGAGGTGTTCGCGCCCTGCCTGCCCCGCACCCGGCTTCCTCTGATCCGGCTGGGGCCCGGCCCAAAGCCAATGCAACCTTAGACCTTTAAAGCGTGCGCTGGGCCCGGCCGGCGTGACTCAGGGGCTGAGCGCCGACCTAGGAACCAGGAGGTCAGGGTTCGATTCCCGGTCAGGGCCCAGGCCCGGGCTGCGGGCTCCATCCCCCGTGGAGCGCGTGCAGGAGGCAGCCGGTCCATGTGTCTCTCTCACACGTGTTACTCTCTCTCTCTCCCTCTCCCTTCCCCTCGCTCTAAAAACCAACGGGGGAATGTCCTCGGGTGAGGATTTTAAAAAATAATAAATATTTTCAGAAATACTCCCCGGGTCCCTCCAGGCCCTCTCTGAGGGTGAGACGCCTTCTGCTGTGCTCTGCAGTCTTCCCCGCCTCCCCCCCTTCCCCTCTCTCCCCCCCTCTGACCCTCTTGCCCCCCCATGGACACCCGCTGCCCCCCATGGGCACCCGCTGCCCCCCATGGGCGCCCGCTGCCCCCCCATAGGCGCCCGCTGCCCCCCATGGGCACCCGCTGCCCCCCCATGGGCACCCGCTGCTCCAGGTCTGAGGGCGGCGAACGGCGCTGCCGCGAACCGGGGACCCTCGGTGCCCGGAGAGCTCGCGGTTCTACGCTCTTGGGCGTCTGTCCGCCGGAGGGCGCTGTCCCCGCTCGGGAGGTGGGGGGAGGGGGCCCCGCGGGCCCCGCAGCCCCGGACCTGGCGTCTGTCCCCCAGGACACGGAGCTGCTGAACACGGCCGTGCTCACGGGGCAGCCGGCCGCCCTGCCGGTCCGGGTCGTGTCCGTGGAGGAGAGCGGCGCCGTCACCGACGTCTCCGAGGCCGTGGAGTGCCGCGCCGCCGACCAGGCCGTCCTCAAGGTGAGGCCTGGGGGCAGTCCGCCCGGGCGTCCCGGGCCTGCGAGGGAGGGAGGAAGGGAGGGAGGGAGGGAGGGAGGAAGGGAGGGAACGAGGGAGGGAGGGAGGGAACGAGGGAGGGAGGGAGGGAAGGAGGGGGGAGGGAGGGAGGGAGCGAGGGAGGGAAGGAGGGGGGGGGAAGGAGGGAGGGGGGAGGGAGGGAGGAAACGAGGGAGGGAGAGAGGGAGGGAGGGAGGGAAGCATTGATGAGAGAAAGAAAAAGAGAAGCATTGACGGAAGAGAGAGACATTGATGGGGGGGGGGAGAGGAAACTGATGAGAGAATCGCTGATGTGAGAGACACAGCCACCGGTTGCCCCACACACGCCCTGGCTGTGACCTGGGGTGGAACCTGCAACTGGCCCATGCCCTTGACGGGGAATCGAACCCGTGACCCTCCAGTGCGTGGGCCGGCTCTGACCGCTGGGCAATACTGGCCAGAGTTCACGTGTGCTGGCCGTGGAGCACGCCACCGTGGCAGCCGAGGGGGGGGGGCCTGGGCCGCGTGTGGCGAGGGGCGGCAAGCCGGTCGGCAAAGGGCTGGCCTCTGAGCCGGGCTCTGCCCCCTCGGCCCCGGGGGCTGCTCAGGGCCGGGAGCGCTCCTGCCTTCTGCCCCGTCCACGCCCACAGCCGCCCTGTGTCCGTGAACTGCAGGCCGGGCCGGGGAGGGGGGGCACGGCCCCGGAGAGCCCTGCCCGGGCGCCCCCCCCCCCCCCCCCCGGCGCCGGGGAAGCCCAGTGCGGGGACCTGCGCCCACACTCGCGGCGCCGGGGGAGCCGCCCGGGCAGGGCTCTCCGCCAGCCGCTGCGGTTGCCTTGACAACACGCCGCCCTGGGGATGCTGGACCGTTTCTGGCCACTCAATTCTCCATCCAGGCCGCGGGCGGTTTGTTTGCGTTGTTATTGGGAAGGAATCCGCGCCCGCAGGCTCCGGCCGTGTGTGTGCGTGTGTGTGTGTGTGTCTGTGTGTGTGTGTGAGTGTGTGAGTGAGAGTGAGTGTGTGAGTGTGTGTGTGAGTGTGTGTGTGTGTGTCGGTGTGTGTGTGTGAGTGTGTGTGTGTGTGTCTGTGTGTGTGTGTGAGTGTGTGTGAGTGTGAGTGTGTGTGAGTGTGTGTGTGTGAGTGTGTGTGTGTGTGTGTCGGTGTGTGTGTGTGTGTGTGAGTGTGTGTGTGTGTGTGAGTGTGTGTGTGTATGTGTGTGTGAGTGTGTGTGTGTGTGTGAGTGTGTGTGTGTATGTGTGTGTGAGTGTGTGAGTGAGAGTGAGTGTGTGAGTGTGTGTGTGAGTGTGTGTGTGTGTGTGAGTGTGTGAGTGAGAGTGAGTGTGTGTGTGTGTGTGAGTGTGTGTGTGTGTGTGAGAGTGAGTGTGTGAGTGTGTGTGTGAGTGTGTGTGTGTGTGTGTGTGTGTGAGTGTGTGGGTGTGTGAGTGTGTGAGTGTGTGAGTGTGAGTGTGTGTGTGTGTGAGTGTGTGAGTGTGTGTGAGCGTGTGTGTGTGTGTGTGAGTGTGTGTATGTATGTGCGTGTGTGCATGTGTGTGTGTGTGCTGAGCCCAGCCCTCCCAGAGCCCTGCAAACACAAGTGCCAGGGGGCGGGGTGGGCATGGGGCCCAGAGCCGCTGTCCATGGTCCTGGGAGCCGGGGGATAGGAGGGGAGGGGGAGATGGGTGGGGGGAGGGGGAGATGGACGGGGAGGGGAGGGGGAGATGGGTGGGGGAGAGGAGGGCGGGAGGGGAGGGCAGGGCAGGGGAGACGGATGGTGCAGGGGGGAGCTCCCGGCTCTGCACCATGGCTGCCGGGCGCGGACTCAGAAGGGCCGGCGGCAGTTCCCAGGTTCACCTCCCGGCCCGCTCCATCCGCCCAGGTGTCCGACCGCTGCGACCAGGTCTTCGTGAACGGGAGGGAGGTGAAGGGGCAGGTGGACGCCGTGGTGACCTTCGCCTACCAGCACCTGAGCGCGCCCCTGCACCTCACCGTGTGGGCGCCCCGCCTGCCGCTGCACATCGAGGTCTCGGACCCCGAGCTCAACCAGATCAAGGGCTGGCGGGTGCCCGTCGCGGACAGTAAGAGGTGAGCCCCCTGGGGGGAGTGGGGGAGACACACCGGAGCACGGCCGTGGCTTTGATTGTCCATCATCACATGAGAGCCGCCTGCGCACAGTAGGTGCGGGGCCTGCGCACAGTAGGTGCTGCTGTTGTCATGGTGACCGCATGTCCTCCGGCCTAACCGCAGCCCTCTGAGGGGACCAAGGCCAGGGGCCCAGCCGGCAGGAGGGCCACCGGCCGCAGGGTCAGTGTCGGACCCGGGCTCTGAGCGTGCCTCCCCGGGAGGGACGAGAGGCGAGTTACACTCCGTTAGCCCCGCGGCCCCCGGGGAAGTGGAGTTTGGGGTTCATTTTCTCCTCCTTCTGGGGTGGGAGTAGCTGGGAGCTTGACAAGCTCTGTGACGACCCAGTTATTGGATAAAACTCAATTGCATTTATTTTTTTTTTTTTAATTGATGTCAGAGAGGGAGGGGGAGGGAGAGAGAAACATCCACGATGAGAGAATCACGGATCGGCTGCCTCCTGCCCGCCAGGAACGGGGCCCTCCTGGCAGGTCCCCGTGCCCCTAAGAGGTGAACGTGACCTGTGTCTTTCCGTTTGGCCCCGGTCTGGTGACTATGAGCTGCTGAGGGGTCGGCGGGGCTGAGGAACCTTTATCACTCATGTCGTTCTCTGCGCTAATAAAAGAGCAGCACGCAGATGGACCGTTCCTTTGCGACACCCACCAGCCAATCAGGAGCGGGTATGCAAATGAACCCAACAAAGATGGCGGGTTCATTTGCATACACAGGCACCGAAGGGGAGCCTGAGCGTTCCCCGGGCCTCTGGGCAGCGTGGGAAGGCGGGAAGGTGGCTCTGGGCTGCGGCGAAAGCGGCGGCGGCAGCAGCCGGGGGAAGGAGGGTCGTCCTTGCAGGAACCTTCATGTTTATCAATAAGTGTCCTCCAGGGGGAGCTGCCTGAGGCTCTGGGCCCGTGGTGAGGCCCCTGCTGGAGGGGGAGGCACCCCACCCCGCTGCCCGGAGGCCCCGCCCCTGCGCCTGAGCGCCCCCTCCTGCCCGCAGGCCCACGCCCGCCCGGGAGGAGCGGGGGGAGGAGGACGAGGATGCGCCGCGGGGGCGGGGCTGCGCCCTGCAGTACCAGCGCGCCTCCGTGCGTGTGCTCACCCGCTTCCTGGCGGAGGCCGCGGGGCCCTGGGCCCAGCCCCGCCTGCTGCTCGGCCCCGACTGGCAGGTGGACGTCACCCCCCTGGTGGCCGCCTCCATGAAGCTGGAGGCGCCGCGCGTGGCCTCGCTGCTGGACGGCCGGGTGCTGGTCGGGCGGGAGCCCGGGATGACCGCCATCCAGGTAGGAGGCCGCCCGCCACCCCCCCCCCCGGGCGTGGGGGGCGCTGGGTGGGGGAGCCGGCGAGGCAGGTAGGGCCCCGTGGCCAATGCTTGTCCCCCTGGGGGCATCCTGGGGGACTGGCAGCTTCATCGCCACCCCTCCCTCTCGGGACCCTGCCCCACCCTGACACCCCCACTTAGCACCCGTGTCCCCGCACTGCGCCCCCGAGCCTCTCTGTCCTGCTGTTCACCACCCCACCTGCTCCCTCAGCGTCCCGGGCCCTGACCCCCAGGGGCTCACACGCTGGGGTTCCAGGACAGAGGACGGAGCCAGGGGGGTCTCTGCCCTCAACTCCCACCTTACCCACCCTCCCTTTTTATTTTCTTTAAAAATATATATATTTCTATTGACCTCAGAGAGGAAGGGAGAGGGAGAGGGAGAGAAACATCCAGGATGGGAATTATCCCTCCGCTGCCTCCTGCCCGCCCCCTACTGGGGATGGTGCCCTGATCAGGACTCTAACCAGGGCCTCCCCGTTCACTGGTCAGTGCTCCACCACCGAGCCACGCCGGCAGGGCCAGAATGGGGTTTTAAAAATATATATTTTATTGATTTTTACAGAGAGGAAGGGAGAGGGTTAGAGAGCTAGAAACATCCATGAGAGAGAAACATTGATCATGTGCCTCCTGCACACCCCCCACTGGGGATGTGCCCACAACCAAGGTACATGCCCCTGACCGGAATCGAACCTGGGACCCTTCAGTCCACAGGCCGACGCTCTACCCACTGAACCACACGGGCCAGGGCCATGGATCTGTCTTGTGTCCTGCCCTTCCCTCGCCCCTCCAGGTACTGTCCCCTCTGTCCGACTCCATCCTGGGCGAGAAGACGGTGACCGTGTCCGAGGACAGAGTGTCGCTGACGGACCTGGCCGTCCAGCTGGTGGCCGGGCTGTCGGTCAGCCTGCACCCCAGCCCGGAGAACCCCCAGGTGGTCACCGCCGTGGCCCAGGCAGACGAGCTGCTGCGGGCCCCCAAGCAGGTGGGAGCCGGGGTGGGGAGGGGCGGGCGGCTCCCGGGCCTGGTTCGGGGGGAGGGGGAGCAGGTGGGGGCGGGGTGGGGTCTCAGAACGTCCTTCCAGAATGCAGGCCGAGGCCCCGCAGGCAAAGGCACCATCTCACCCACGGGGACTTGGGGTGGACATGGGCCACAGCGTCCCCATCTGCCTGTTTTATTTATTTTATTTATTCTAAATATATTTCTATTGATGTCAGAGAGGAAGGGAGAGAGAGAGAGAGAGAGAGAGAGAGAGAGAGAGAGAGAGCGCGCGTGCGCGCGAGAGAGACATCAATGAGGACAGAGGATCATGGACCGGCTGCCTCCTGCATGCCCTCTGCTGGTGGGGATTGAGCCTGCAACCCGGGCCTGTGCCCTGACCGGGAATCGAACCCTGACCTCCTGGTTCCTAGGTCCACGCTCAGCCCCTGAGCCAGGCCGGCGGGCCTGGGGGCTCTGTTTCAGGGTGTCTGTCTGCGGGGTGGCCGGAGGAGCAGGTGTTGGTAAGTAAAGGCCGTCACTGACCTTCTCCTATGGGCCAGGCCCCTCAGCCGAGCCCTTCGGGGTCAGCAAAGGAGGGGCAGGAGTTTCTCTTGAGCCTGAAGCTAAAATTGCCTTAAGCTCCCCAGCGGGTGTGGCTCAGGGCTGAGCGTCGACCTAGGAACCAGGAGGTCAGGGTTCGATTCCCGGTCAGGGCACAGGCCTGGGTTGGGGCTCCATCCCCAGTGGGGAGCGTGCAGGAGGCAGCCGGTCCATCTCTCATCACGGATGTTTCTCTCTTTCTCTCTCTCTCTCTCTCTCTCTCTCTCTCTCCCCCCGTCTCTCTCTCTCTCTCTCTCTCTCTCTCTCTCTCTCTCTCTGTCTCTGTCTCTGTCTCTTTCTCTGTCCCTCCCCCTTCCTCTCTGAAATCAATAATTTTTGTTTCAAAAGTTGCCTTTAGCTCAAAACAGTCTGCATTCCGCAGAGGCACATCTTGGGGTGACTTTAGTGCTGTGGTCTGGAACCGGAGGGGCTGTTAGAGGGGGTGGGTGTCTAACAGCGGAGACGCCCCCCCACCCCAGTCCCCTAACGGGCTGTCATCTCCCCTCCCGCCTTCCCTCCCTCCTCCGCAGGAAGCCGTGGTCAGCACGTGGCTGCGGTTCAGCGACGGCTCGGTGGCGCCGCTGGACGTGTACGACCGCCGGGACTTCGCTCTGAGCGTCTCCTCCCTGGACGAGGCCGTGGTGTCCGCGGCCCCGGCCCGCGCCCCGGGGTGGCCGGCGGTGGCGGCCGCGGGGGAGGGCCAGGGCCCGCTGGTGCGCGTGGACCTCAGCATCGCGGGCCCCTGCCAGAAGGCCCGGCGCCGCAGCGTCCTGGCCAGCGGCGTGGGCGGCGTCAGGGTCCGGTTCGGTCCGAAGGACGCGGAGGGCGAGACCGGGAACCGCGCCGGCGGCCGGCGGCCCCAGGGCGCGGAGGCGGCGGAGCGCGGGGGCCCGGAGGCCCCAGAGGAGGGCGCGGCGCGCCGGGGCGGCCCCACGGCCGGGCCGCGGCTGGACCCCCAGGCGGCGAGGGGCAGCCGGACGGACGGGGCGCGGCCGCCCGCCGCGGGGCAGGCGCACCGCATCCCGCTGGACCTGAGCCGCTTCCCCGCGCAGGAGGCACCCGGGGCGGCCGGGGCGGGGGCGGCGGGCGGCGGCCCGGCCCCCGGGGGCCCCCGCGGCCTCAGCGACCTGGAGATCGGCATGTACGCGCTGCTGGCCGCCTTCTGCCTGGCCATCCTGGTCTTCCTGGCCAACTGCGCCGCCTTCGCGCTCCGGTTCCGGCGGCGCAAGCAGCTGCCCCCCGAGGGCGCCACCTCCTCCGGGGGGGCCGCCGGGGGCACCCACTCCCACGACTGGGTGCGGCTGGGCCACGCGGCGGAGCTGCTGGACGGCGCGGGCCGGGGGTCCCCACCTCTGCCCCTGCCACCAACTCCGCCCTCACCGGCCCCCCAGGGGCGCACCGCCACCCTGGACCTCGGGCCCGCGCGCGGCGAGGACCCCAGCCGCCTCCTGCGGACCGGGGGCGGCTCCCCGAGGCGGGCCCAGGGCCAGGCGCCCCGCGCCGCTGCCCCCCCGGGGGGCAGGCCGGGCCCGAACCCCCGGCCTGAGCCCCCGCCCTCGCCCAGCTCCGGGAGGAGGAAGGTCCAGTTCGCCAGCTTCCCCGGCGTCTCCCCCGAGACCGCCTCCCCCTCCGCCCCCAGCGGCGCCGAGGACGCCCCGTGGGTGTGCCCGGACCGGGGCCTGGGCGCCCCCCGCGAGCTGAGGACCCACCTGGACCCGTTCCGGGACGCCGTGTAGGACCCTCTGGCCAAGGGCCCGGGCCCGGCCCACACCTCGTCCCCGGAGGCCGCCTGGGTGCTGGGGGGGGGGGGGGCAGGGGGGGGCCAGGGGCGCGCTCTGGCCCATTGGACGCCGGGAAGGGGCCTTGGTTCTGTAACCGGGGTTTGTAGCCGCACCGCGGGGGGCGGGGGCAGCGCCAAAGCCGCGGGAGGAACTCTGGGGGCGCGTGTGCCATGAGTCCCCACCGACAGCACAGTGAAGCTACCAAAAATGATTTGTTAAAAAAATGCAAAAAGGCAAATAAAAAGAGACGAAAAGAGCCATCTGTGGATGTTTCTGAGAAAAGAGCGTGGTCCACGCCAGGGCCCGCCCACAGGCAGCTCCGGTGTCATTCCACCCCCCTCCGACCCCCCCGAGTGTGGGTGCGGGCCAGGCCCTCCCGGCGGGGCGGCTGCACCAGGAGCCCCCGAGACCTTGAGAAATGGAAACCGCGCGCCTGCTTGTTAAACACGTTTTCTCTTAATCCACATACTGCTGAGAAGTGCGGGCCTTGCCATCAAGGAAAACGCGGTAATCTCAGGAGAATCATCAAAAGTGCTTTCTCCAAAGCGATGTCCGTCGCCAGCCACACATTCCCCCATCTCCCAGGTCACTGGTGGGTACCGTCCCGATGGAACTGTCCTTGTTTGGGGCAGACCGTGCAGAGACCCCACTGTCCACGTCTGCGTCCGTGTGGCCGTGCCGCCCAGACAGGGCGTGTGCGGTCGATCGGAACACGGGTCCTCTGGAGGAGCAATACAGCAACACAGCACACACATCACATCGCATGTATGTCAGCAGGTGTGTGACTCCATGTATTGGGGAAATCCGCATTAGTAAGCAGTACACCTGGTAGGTTGCCAACCCACTATATTTTTTTAAAATATATTTTATTGATTTTTTACAGAGAGGAAGGGAGAGGGATGGAGAGCTAGAAACATCGATGAGAGAGAAACATCCATCAGCTGCCTCCTGCACACTCCCTACTGGGGATGTGCCCGCAGCCAAGGTCCATGCCCTTGACCGGAACCGAACCCGGGACCCTTTGCTCCTCAGGCCGACGCTCTATCCACTGAGCCACACCGGCCAGGGCTATTGAGATTTTTTATTTTATTTTATTATTTTATTATTATTATTTTTTTTTTTAAAAGGAAAAGAACAGCTGTTGGGGAAGCCCTGATCCGGGCAGAACCCCGTCGTGTTTCAGGGAAGAGAGGCAGGTGACGGCTTGGAGGGGGAAGCGGGGAAGGATACATCCGGGAAGGAGGCGTGGCCGAGGGTTCGAAGGAAACACGGTATCAGCGACGCCAAACAGTGTTTCCGGCGGTTCCTTCCCAGAGCCCCGGCGGGTGGTTACACTGTCCGCGTCCCGGTTACCTTGGTTACAGTGTCCGCGTCCCGTTACCTTGTTACCGAGTGGAAGCTCCCGGGATACAACGTAGCTTTGCGCCCTGCGCAGCGGTTTCCGGTTTAACGGCCGCATTTCCAAGCGGCTCCATCTCGTATATCCGTATTTCACAGGCCCCCGCGCGCAGTACTGACCGGCCCTGCGCCCGTCCGACCTGCCAACCGGCCGACCGGCCGCCCTGCGCCCGGGCCCTGGAGCTGCCGTCTCCCCCGAAGGAAGTCCTGGGCCTGGAGCGGCCGCCGGGTGGCCCTCGGTCCCGGGGACGGTTTCCGTGGTTCGTGCTGTTTGTGCTCCTGCTGCTCTCGGAGGTTCCGGGCTTAGCGGTCGCGCGGGGTGGGGGTTGGGGTGGGGGGAGTTGTGGGGAGAAGGTTGGGGCAGAAGGTCGGACGGTGCTGTTTTGGGGGAAGCTCGGTTATGGGGATGCCGCTCACGTGCGTAATGCTGGCCCTGGGGGCGCTCCGGGCGATGGGGGCGGGGTGTTCACAGAGCCGGCCTTCCTGACAGGACCGTGAGACTCAGTCCCGATTTTTAACACTTTGTCCCGCGTCCCTGGCGTTTTAAAGAAGTCCCCATCGGCTGCCTCCTGCACGCCCCCTCCTGGGGACGGAGCCCGCAGCCTGCCCCGTGCCCTGACCAGGTCCATACCAGGGACCCTTCAGTCCGCAGTCCGACGCTCCATCCACTGAGCCACCGGCCGGGAAGTTTCGTTTCTGCCCCGAGTTACACGGAAACCGCCCCCGGCTGGCCTCGGGCAGGGACCTCAGGGTGCCCTCTGACCCGCCGAGCTGCTCGGTTTGGACACCCGACCCCCGGGGACAGTGGGAGGGAGCCCTCCTCCCTCGGACACGGCTGTCAGCGACGCCCGCCCCACGTGGCAGGCGGGGCCGCGGGCTGGGAGCATCCTTCTCAAGGTCACGGCGGGAGGTCACAGGGTCAGGGTCGCCGCTGGCGCCGCCTGAGACCGTGGCCTCAGTTATTACACGGAAACAGGCTTTTCTCATCGACTTCCCTGCGGTTAAATTTTTAAAAAATGTAATGACACAGACACACGGGACGCGGACGGGGCCGGGAATCCGGGGGAGGGACGCCGGGCCTGGTCCCGGAGACGCACAGAGGCGGCCACGGAGGCCGCCGCCGGCTGTGACCGGCCGTGGCTTACTCCCGGCCGCGTCCCGTCTGGACAGGGAGCGGCTGGAAATATGACTTTTAAATGATTTTTCCAATTTCAAAAGCAGCCCGCAAGCACGGTGAGGTTTTATTAAACGGGCGCCTCGGATCCGTCCTGCTGGGCTCTGCCCTCCGCGGTCTCTGTCCTCCACGGCGGAGGTCAAGAGCTGCAATTAATTTAAGCGTAATTAACCGGGCGTTTTCCTCAACAGATGATCGGATGCCTCCTGTGTGTGTGTGTGTGTGTGTGTGTGTGTGTGTGTGTGTGTGTGTATGGGGGGAGGTGCGTGGTGGAGCCCCCTGGAGGGGCCTGAGGGGCCCCACAGGGCCCGGAGGGGAAGGATGACAATGCAGCCCAGCCAGGCCAGTGTGGCTCAGTGGGTAGAGCGTCCGCCCGCAGACCGAGGGTCTCAGGTTTGATTGCAGTCAAGGGCATGTCCCTCCGTTGCAGGCCGGATGCCCCGTCGGGGTGTATCCGGGGCAGGGTGCGGGCAGGAGGCAACCAACCATGGATGTGTCTCCCTCCCATCCCTGTTTCTCTCTCTCTCTGTGTCCATCCCCCTCCGTTCCACTCGCTTCTAAGAAAACCAGTGGGAAACTGTCCTTGGGTGAGGAAGACTCAGGAAAAAGAAAAATACTCAAGGAATCCCGGCCAGCCCTGGCGCCTGGAGGGAGGGCCCCGGCGGCCGCACGGACTCGGCAGCAGCGCCACCTGCTGGCCCAGGAGGCCTGGCGGCAGCTCCCAGCAGGAGGCCGGGGGCAGGGGGCCCGGCAGGGGATGGGCAAGTGTCGGGAAGTCCTGTGGTCAGCCCGGCCTGGGCCTGGCGATGGAGGACCTTTCCCCTCCCCCCCAGGCTCATGGCACGGGGTGTCCTCGCCAGCAGACGCATGACCTTCCCCGTGACCTTGGCCGAGGACGCCGCGGGCTCCGTGCTCCGCCCTCGGGGCCTTTGCATCCTCAGGAAGGAGCCTCCGGGCCCTCATTCCGGGGACGACGGGCCGCTGGCGAGGGAGCCGAGGCCGGGAGGTCTGCGCTCAGTGGAGCCGTCCTGCTTTTTATTCTAATGCAGCTCGCTTTGCGGCGACCGGGACGTGTGGCTGTTTGGGCCATGTTTATCTTCATTTTTTCCTTCTGCCAGGGACAGTGGACGGTTTGTCGGGCCCTGGCCGGTGTGGCTCAGTGGATAGAGCATTGTTTCCTGGGGCTGAAGGGTCCCGGGTAGGAATCTGGTCAAAGCAACAGGCCCGGGTTGCAGGCTCGATCCCCAGTGAGGGGCGTGCAGGAGACAGCTGGCCTATGATTCTCTCCTCATGGATGTTTCTCTCTCTTCCTCTCCTCCTGTCCTCTCTGACATCAGCGAAAATCCTCCCAGCTGATACAGAGGGAACAGGCTAATGGACCATCACCCATCACAGAGACGGCTGCGCCCACAGCTGAGGCCAAGTTCCCATCAGGAGCCTTAACGAGCCATCAGCAGGGACCTGAGGCCACGCCCCCCCCCCTGCAGGGCTTGACGAGGGTGGGACTGGCCGGGTCTGGATCTATAGCCCAATTGGGGGGGGGGGGGGTGTGGCCGGGTCTGGGTCTCATTCAATTTTGAGGTGCATGTGGGCGGGCGGGGACTTGACTCTGGGCCCCGCGGTGAGCCCAGACAGGAGGAAGGTTTTCATATGCATTTTACTAATTTCCTTTCACCTCTGACACTGCTGTTGTAAAGGGCAAATGGCAACATTAAATCATTTCCTCTATTGAATCCCCTTTGAATGTGCAGGAATCCCGTGCACCGGGTCACTGGTATTTAAAATAAAAACCCGGCACCCGTGGGTGTCAGAGCGCCTGTCGGAGCCCTGCCCACCCCGACCCAGGAGCTTTCTCAGCTGCGCCTCTGCCTGTAGGACTCCCCCCGAGCCCACTCCCAGGCGGCTGTGGACGGTGCTGGTTCTGTTTCAGCTGTCTTTCTGATGTGGTTGAGGGAGTGGCATTCCCCTAGGCCTGTGGTCGGCAAACCGCGGCTCTCGAGCCACCTGCGGCTCTCTGGCCCCTGGAGGGCGGCTCTTCCACAAAACACCACGGCCCGGGGAGTCTGTGTGTTAGACGTGGCGCTGGAAGGAGTTTACGTTTTAAAAATGTGGCTGCTCTCCGAGGAGCTGCCCATCGTGGTGCTGCTGTTTGGCTGTGTGGACGGACGGGTCTGCGGCCACATCCTGGTCCCCCTTCTCGAGGGTAAAGAACGCCCAGCCCACTGTGCCCACCGGGGAGCCCACCGCCCCGCCCCCGCGGGCCCTGCAGCCGGGCCGAGCCAGCGTGTGGCCGCGGGGAGCTGGCGGCGGGAGGGGAGCGCCCGGTCAGCCGGGCCGTAGCCACCGTCCGGCCGGTGAGCGGCTCCAGGGGTGTGTGTGTGTGTGTGTGTGTGTGTGTGTCAGTGTGTGTGTGTGTATGAGTGTGTGTGTGTGTGTGTGTGAGAGTGAGCCCACCGGCTTCTCCGTCAGCCGCCCGCGTTCCGGAGTTGCCAGCTGCTCCAGGCAGAGATGGATGGCGGGTGATGAAGGATCACAGAGCGTGGAGGAGAGGATCGGGGGCGGGACCCGAGGCTGTTCTCGGGAGCCGGCTCTTCCCCCAGAGCTTCCGGACACACAGGATTCCCACGGGGAGGGAGGCCAGGGCGAAGGAATTCCAGGTGCGCGCAAGTGTGAGTGTGAGTGTGTGTGTGAGCATGTGTGTGTGCGTGTGTATGTGCGCGCGTGTGTGTGTGTGTGTGTGCGTGTGTGTGTGCGTGTGTGTGTGAGGTGTGACCGTTACAGACAGCAGCCGGCCTTCCCGCCCACGGAGCACAGCTGGGCGGACAGTGAGGCTGGGATCGGGTTCAGAAGAACCGAATGTGGACGGAAAACAGCCTACTATGTGCTGAGCCTCAGGGGCTCCAGAGCTCGGCTGAGCCCCGCCTCCTTCAGAGGTTAAACTGACCCCAAATCTTTTTATTTTTAAATATGTTCCTATTGATTTTTAGAGAGACAGATAGAAACATTAATGAGAATCATGGACAGGCTGCCTGCACCTCCACGGGGGATGGAGCCCCAAACCTGCGCCTGTGTCCTGGCCGGGATGGAACCGGGACCCCCTGGCTCAGCCTGAGCCCCCCGGCCGGCGAACTGGTGCCTCTCCGTGTCTGCCGCTCCGGCCCAACAGCCAGGCTCCTGCGCTCTTTGCTCCAAATGCCCGTTTCCCAAGAAGCTCGGTGTCCACACGGACATTTAAAACGTGGACCCAGACGCCGTCGCCCACCGGCTCTGCCAGGGTCCCGCCCGGCCCCCCGGGCTCTGGTTCCGGGGACGGGCTGGGCTGCACCACGCGGGACGGTGAGACGGGAAGGCCATCGCCGCCGTGGGGCCTGGAGCTGAGCCGTGAGCGCGGCTCCGGATGGCGGTCATTTCCGGGCGCCCCGCCCTCTGGTGCAGCTGGGAACGGCGGGCCCTGAAGCCGGGGTTCAGGGACGCGGGACCCCCGTGGCCGTGCCGGTGGGCGGGGCCGCGGACAGACCACGCAGGGACCGGGTCCTGGGCCTCGGGTTGGAGGCGTTTTTAATAGCAAACTTTTGCCGAAGTCCAGCTCAGAGGAAGTTAAAGTCAGGCCAGAGGCACGTGAAACCACAGACAAACACAGTGGCCCCCAGGCCAGGGCGCAGTAAACTGTCCGCGGCTCCTGACGCACGGATCTCGTTCAAAACGACGGCTCCTTCCGGCCCGCCATGGCCTTCAGCCCCGCGGCAGCACGGCCGGCCGGGCGGCGCGCAGGGCCTCCCTCAGCGCTCGCCGGGCCGCGGGCCGGCCACCCGGCGTGACTGTTCCCTGGTTCGCCTCTTGCCTCACGGAAAAGCAGCGCCCGCAGCTCACACACAGGAAGTGAGGCAGCAGGTGCACGGGCTCCGGGCCGGCCGCGCCCGAGGCCAGAGGAGCGGCTGGCGACCGTGAGTCCCACAGCGTCCGCCCGCGGCCTCCACCACGAGGGGGCTCACTCCTCAGAACAGCCACGCCCCACGCTCACACGTGTGCGAACCACGAGGAGCCCGCAGACACGCGGCCGGGCCGTGCGCTCGCGTGGACCTGGCCGGCGGCCGCGGGGGGCGTCGTCCTGAGGCGGCCCCTGCGCTTCGGCTCCGGAGGCCCCGCAGCAGGGGGGCGCAGAAGGCACGCGCCCGTCCGCCGGCAGGGGGACGCGCGGGCGGCGAGGACGGCGGGCGCCCGGGTCAGGCCCTGCGGCTGCCGGGCGTCGCGGGCGCGGAGGCCCGGGCGCGCTGGCGGTCGTAGCGGACGGACACTAGCAGGAACAGCAGCAGCGTGGCGGCCTGCACCGCGGCCAGCAGGAAGAAGTAGTAGTTGAGGTGGCAGCCGTTGATGTTGCCTGGAAGGCGGGGGGCCGTCAGCTGGCCCGGGCAGTCAGCGGGGCTATGTTTCAGGGCCCTGCCTCGGCCCCGTCTGCGGTCCGCTCCCCAGGACAACACCCCTGGGACCATGCAGGCCGGGCTCCGTGCCGGTGTCCCTGCCCAGGACCCGGTGTGCCTGCCCGGAGCCGACGGACAGTGAGTGGGCCTCCCTGTCCACTGAGTCCGGGGGCACTGGTGTCTGAGGCCAGGCATGTCCTGCAGGGGGCGCCCTCTCTCTCTCAGACCCACAGAGCAGGGAGCCAGCTCAAAGCCTGCTCCCAGCCCCAGGGGGAGCCAGGCCCAGGCGGGGAGCAGCAGCCTCTCCTCCGAGTGTTTACCCCAGGACGCCACCTGCTGGTGGGAGGGGGAAGCCCTCCCGTGGACAGTGCGGCAGGTGCAGCCAGGCCCTGGGGAGGAGGCGCAGGGACAGCCCGGTCCGGGCTCAGGAAGTGGCCCCGCGGAGGCCCCGCCCGCCCGCCCGCCCGGTGGTCCTCACCGAAGTCCGTGTGACTGCTCATCCAGCCGATGGCCGGGGTGGACACGAGGGCCAGCAGCCCCGAGCCCACGAAGGAGCCGACGCCCGAGAAGAAGAAGAACAGCCCCATGATGGCGCTCTGCATGGCCTTGGGCGCCGCCGCGTACGCGAACTCCAGGCCTGGGGCGGGAGGGGGCGGGGGGCGTCTGAGTGCAGGGGCCTCCGGGCAGCAGGCGCCGTGGTCACTCCTCCGGGCCGGCCCCGCCCCCGGCAGCCCCAGAGGCGCCGGCCGGCGAGAGGCTTATGGGGGGCAGCGGCCGCGCGGGCACTGAGCCCACCATCGCCCTCGGCGGCACCACGGCAGCCCGAATGGTGCCCGGCGAGCGGACCACGGGAGCCGCTCCCCTCCCGTGCGGCCCCGGAGGAGGCAGTGCCGCCGGGCGGACATGCTGCTGCCGGTGCTCTCAGCCGGACCCTGAACCACAGCCACTCCGCCCGTCCCCCAGCCCTCAGGTAAGAAACCAACCCTGGGTTTATCCTTAGGAGACCCGGCCCCACACCCGGCGGCCCCAGGCCTCCCCGGCCCCTGGCCCCAGGCCTCACGAGCCCCAGGCCCCAGGCCCCCGGCCCCCGGCCTCCCCGGCCCCCGGCCTCCCCGGCCCCGGCCCCCGGCCTCCCCGGCCCCAGGCCTCCCCGGCCCCTGGCCCCAGACCTCCCCAGCCCCAGGCCTCCCCGGCCCCCGGCCTCCCCGGCCCGGCCCCCGGCCTCCCCGGCCCCGGCCCCCGGCCTCCCCGGCCCCGGCCCCCGGCCTCCCCGGCCCCGGCCCCCGGCCTCCCCGGCCCGGCCCCCGGCCTCACCGGCTATGCTTGCGAAGATCTCGCTGAAGCCGATGAGCACGTACTGGGGCACCTGCCACCAGATGGACAAGTCTGCAGCGAAGTACACCACGTTGCCGATGGTCTGGTTCACGGTGCCTCCCCGCACCAGGTCCAGCCGCTTGCTCTCCAGGATCCCTGGAGGACAGGGTGGGCGGAAATCCTGTGGCCGTGCACAGGGCCGGAGCCGCCGAGTCCCCACGGACCCAACGAGAACCCGCGGGGACCGCACACCCTGGACCCGTGGAGGCGTCCACTCGGCCACCAGCCCGCCAGCCGTCCATGCCAGCATCTCCCCACGCCCCCGCCGAGGGCCAGCACCCTCTCCCCCCGGGAGTGAGGGGCCAGCACCTCCCCGCCCCGAGGGCCAGCACCCCCTCCCCCCGGGGGTGAGGGGCCAGCACCCTCCCCGCCCCGCTGAGGGCCAGCACCTCCCCCCGCCCCCCCCCCCCGAGGGCCAGCACCCCCTCCCCCCGGGGGTGAGGGGCCAGCACCCTCCCCCGCCCCCGCCGAGGGCCAGCACCCTCCCCCCCCGGGGGTGAGGGGCCAGCACCCTCCCCGCCCCGCCGAGGGCCAGCACCCTCCCCCGGGGGTGAGGGGCCAGCACCCTCCCTGCCCCGCCGAGGGCCAGCACCCTCCCCCCCCGGGGGTGAGGGGCCAGCACCCTCCCCGCCCCGCCGAGGGCCAGCACCCCCTCCCCCCAGGGGTGAGGGGCCAGCACCCTCCCCGCCCGCGCCGAGGGCCAGCACCCTCCCCGCCCCGCCGAGGGCCAGCACCCCCTCCCCCCGGGGTGAGGGGCCAGCACCGCCGAACCCCCGCCCCCGCCGGCCGGGCGGCGCCCCTCACCGGCGGCGAAGGCGGAGCACGTGACGAAGAACATGCCCACGGCGATGCGCTTGAGCGAGGACGGCAGCAGCCCGCGCCGGCGCAGCACCGGGTCCACCAGCTTGTCCTTGAGCGGGATCAGCAGCAGGATGAGCACCGCGTCGAACATGGTGAGCCAGGCGGCCGGCACCTGGGAGCGGGCGGACCTGGTCACTCACGCCGGGCGGGGCGGGGGCGGGGGCTGTGCCGGGGCAGGGGGGGGGGCTGTGTGGGGGGCGGGGAGGGGGCTGTGGGGGGGGGGGGCTGTGCCGGGGCGGGGGCTGTGCGGGGGGGGGGGGGGCGGGGCGGGGGCTGTGCGGGGGCGGGGCGGGGGGGGGGCTGTGCGGGGGCGGGGGCGGGGCGGGGGGGGGGCTGTGTGGGGGGCGGGGGGGGGCTGTGTGGGGGGCGGGGAGGGGGCTGTGCGGAGGGGGGGGGGCTGTGTGGGGGGCGGGGGGGGCTGTGTGGGGGGCGGGGAGGGGGCTGTGCGGGGGGGGGGGGGGGGCTGTGCCGGGGCAGGGGGGGGGGCTGTGTGGGGGGCGGGGGCTGTGCGGGGGGGGGGCTGTGCCGGGCGCGGTTCCAGAGGCCCCTCTCCGGGGAGAGGCTCGGTCCGCCCGTAGGGACACAGGACCTGGTCCTCGGCCCTGCTTCCTCTCGGGGCGGGCAGGGGCAGCGGGACAGCCAGTGGGGTGGCTGCCGGGAGCGGCTCCGGCCGCGCTCACGCTCACCGTGTGCGCCCGGCCCGCCAGGCTGGGGATCTCCGGGATCCGCAGGTGGAGACTCTGCAGGACGTACGTGGTCTGCATCTGGGGGCACAGGCAGCGTTGGGGCGCTGGCTCGGCTTGGAAGCGGCCCGTCACCCCGAACCGCCGGAGGCCGACTGGGACGGGTCACCCAGGAGGAGGGGGGCGGGCTGGGCGGGGGGCCACTCCCGCCGCTGCCTTAGCCTCCGTCAGCGGCCGCCGCCCAGGAGCCCGCGGCCGGCCCGCCCACCTGGAAGTACACCGTCCAGTAGGGGATCAGAGCCAGGAACACGGGCACGACCTTGACCAGGGCCCGCACGTCCTCCACGGTGTCCTCCGTGAAGGGCCCGCCCCGGGCCATCTTACAGGAATCAAACAGACCGTGTTTAGAAGGCGGCCCGAGGGCCCCGCTGCCTCCCCTTGGAAACAAAACGCAGGCGTCAGTGTCTCCCCGGAGCCGGAGCCGCCCACCCGTGCTGCCCGGACCCCTGCCCCCGGCCGCCCGCCTGGCAGAGCCCCCGGCAGGCAGGCAGGCCGGGCGGCGGCCGAGAGCCTGCCAGCGGTCACCGCGGCCCAGGGCCTGACCCCGACACCGAGGCCTGTCCTCCCCTGGGGCCACGAGCAGGCCCCGCCCGCAGGGGGAGGCCAGCCAGGCCTGCCCGCAGCCGTGTCACAGTGGGCGCGTCCGGCTCTGAGCGCCCAGAGGGCGGGGCCTCCCCGTCAGTGAACAAGGAGAGGACGCTCTGAGTCTGGGATCCAGGACGGGGGCCTCGGGGCTGCACGGGGGAGCCCTGCACCCCTATTCTGCTGTGCCCACCCCTGCCCGAGCCCACAGGGAGCTCCGGATCACGCCCGTGCTGGCTCCGCGGGGCACAGGGAGGGCCCAGGGAGCCGAGGCCAGGCCCCCCGGTCCGGTGAGTTCAATGCTTCCTATTGGACGGGAACCGCCCAGAGCCTGCTGCCCCCGCCACGTCTCCCTCCATCACGGCCATGCGGCTGGGCAGGCAGGAGCCGTGTCGCTGGCCCGGGTCGGGGGCCGGCTCACCCGCCGGGGCCGGGGTCCGCGGGCGGCCGGCGGCGGCAGGAGTACGCCAGGACCTTGGCCACGTCGGTGAAGGCGCTGCCGTCGGGCGGCTTGGTGACGAAGACGCTCAGGCCGCCCAGGAAGGTGAGGAAGGCCACGCCGATGCAGACGGCGGGGATGGCGTAGCCGGTCACGAAGCTCACGTTCTGCTGCACGTAGGCCACGCCGCCCAGCGCCACCAGCGCGCCCAGGTTGATGCTCCAGTAGAACCAGTTGAAGAACCGGCGGGTGGCCTCGGGGCCGCGGTCCTTCACCTGCGGGAGCCGGGGGGGGGGGGGGGGGGGGCTGAGCGAGACCCTCCCGGAGAGAGGCACCTCGGCGGGGCTCTGTCGTTTGTTTAGGACGTTTCTTTTTTTTAATATATATTTTATTTTATTGTTACAGAGAGGAAGGGGGAGAGAGAGAGAGCGCTAGAAACATCGATGTGAGAGGAACATCGGCCAGCTGCCTCCTGCGCGGGGGATGCGCCCGCAACCGAGGTCCATGCCCTTGACCGGATTCGAACCTGGGACCCTTCCGCCCACAGACCAACGCTCTACCCACCGAGCCACGCCGGTTTCAGCTAGAACATTTCTTATGTGATTACTGTCGTCACAGCTCCACCGGAAGGCTTCCCACCCACCAGGCCCTCACAAAGCACCTGCACCCCATCCCACCCCATCCCACAGGTCTGCGCTCTGCGGCTCTTAATTACGCTTCAACCCAGCCCTTCGGCCCAGGAGACCGCTCAGCGCCGCCTCCGACACCTGCGGGGACACCTGGCTGCCCTTAAAGGCGCAGGCCCACAGCCGGCAGCCCTCCCCTCACCCCCTGGCCACAGCCCGGAGAAACCTGGGGCCAAGAGGAAGCTGCGGCTGGAGCCGGAGCCGGAGCCGGAGCCGGAGCCGGCGCAGGGGAGGCAGGCTCTCCGGGGCCCGAGAGGCTCCGACCAGGAGAGGGGGTCCCAGGAGACTCCGCCCCGGTCCCTGGGCCCGGCACACGCAGGCCCGGGAAGAGGAGGCGATTTCTGAGGGCACACCCTCCCCCCCCCCCGACAGCCACCCACCCCGGAGCCCAAAGCGCTGGACCGGACACGCGGGTGCAGGCCCACGGCTTCCACGTCTCCACAGACACGCAGGCCGGGCCCTCCACCCGGAGTCGCTCTGGCCCGTTTCACTTCATAAACTCGGAACCAGGAGCTGGAGGCCGGCTGCCGTCCACGGGCAGGGTGTGCAACGCCGGGAAGTCTCCGTTCCAGGACCCGATCGGAACCCTGATCCACGTGACAAGCTCCTGCGTAACAGGCGAGGTTCCTCACCGGCCTGGACGGTCCCACAAAAGCATCCTCTAAGCCAGTGGTGGGCAAACTCATCCGTCCACAGAGCCAGACACCAACACAACAGCTGAAATTTTTTGACCCACATTTTTTAATGTAAACGTCTAAGGCAAGCCGCTTCTTCAACACAGACTCGCCCAGGCCGTGGTATTTTGTGCAAGAGCCACACTCAAGGGGCCAAAGAGCCACACGTGGCTCAAAGGCTGCGGTGGACCGACCCAGCTTTAAGCAGACGCCGAGTTCCTGGAATGGATACTCGAACCCGGACCGTTCCCAGGGCTGGGAAGTATCTGCCAGCTGCACTCAGCGGCCACCGTCTCGAACCGAAATTCCGCTTTGTAAGTAAACGCTCCCCCCTCCCAGGTGAGGACTGGACCCGGGCCCCAGACCGCATGCTGGCATGGCGACCGCGGCCGCCATCTGTAGGGATTTGTTATCCTCTGAGACAGCTGTTCGGGAGACACATTCATTCCAGCGGCACCAGGCTGGAGAGGCGGGGAAAGAGGAACTGCAAGCAGAGAAGCGGCCACAGAGAAGACAGAACTCAAGACGCACAGAAAGCCTTTTGGGGGGGCAGGGCTGGGGGGAGCTTAAAGGGGAAGGGCCAGTCAGCGTAAAGCCACAAGGACTGCAGGACGATTCGTGGATTCAGTGGCGCTCGGTCCCAGGGACACGCTGAGCGAGCTCCCGTGGCGCCCCCTCCCGTGGCCCCCGCCGCCCGCCGGGCTGCTCAAGCCTCCGAGCGCCCCTCCCGGGAGAGGGCTTGGGAAGCACGGCCTGGCCTGGGCGAGGCCCCAAATAACCCGTGATTTCTGGGGAGCATGTGGGGCGCCCGGGTCACATGCCTGGGCCTCGCAGCCCCGGGCGGCGGGCCGGCGTCACGTTACGTCACCGGCCTCAGCGTCACCGGGCCGCTGGGAAGCCGCCCGGGACCAGTCAGGCGGCGCAGAGAAAGATCGGCCGTGGAGTGAGCGGACGCTGGCTGCTTTGGGAGAATTCCTGACATTGCCCAGGAGTGCCGCTGCCTTCCCTCCGGGAAAATAAAAGCCTTCACGGGTAAAAGGAGCTTTCCTCCTCTCCGGCCACGATGCCAGGCCCGGTCCATCCGGGGAGTGCGTGACTCCGGGGCGGTGGGCGTGGGGAGCACCCGGGCGGGCCGTCTGCACAGCAGCCACCCCCGGAGCCCTCAGCCGTGTCTCCACACTCACCCCGGGCTCCCACCCCGCCCCGCCCGCCCACGGCGTCTCCGGGGCAAAGACATGCTGCGGCTGGCACACGGCGCCGGGCGCCACGGGCAGCTTTCCGCAGAGGAGAAGGCCAGGACGTGACGGACGGACGGACGGACGGTCCCAGGCCGACCTGGCTGCTTCTCCCCAACCCCATCCCGTCTCCACGCAACCAGCGGGGCGTGGAGCAAGGCCTGACACAGGCCCTGCTCCTCCTCTTCCTCCTCCTCCTCCTCCTCCGTGTTTGTTAGGAATCGTCTCACACAAAGGCACAAACAAAAACAGCCCTGCCCTTGGGAACGGATGACTGAGCCGGCTGCTCGCAGAGCCGTGGAGCCATCTGCACCTTCACGTCCACAGCCACGTCCCTCCGCAGCCACCGGCCACCCCCGTCCCCCCTCCTGGGCCCTGGCACCATGAGTCCACTTCATCCACTTCTGTCTCCCAGGCCGCCTGCTCTGGGCGTTTCCTACGAGGGAGCCAGCCGGGGACCATGGGCCTCTGGACCCGGCTCCCCGCACACAGCATCGCAGTCTCAGTCCACCCCCCACCCTTCCCTAGCAGGCGTGGGCTTCCCTCCTGTTCGGGGCTGCATACTATTCCACCGTCCATCACCATCGCCTTAACTTTTTATTTAAAAAACAAAACCTTTCCAGCGGAGAGAAAAGCTCACAGAACAAGCCTTTGTACCAGCTTCCTGCTGTCCTCACACCCACCCGCCCGCTCTGGCCGCCAGAGGCCTCCAGCTGGTCTGAGCAGGGCGGCCGGGACACTGAGCTCTGAGGGGCCTTCGTCCGGCCTGGGCTCCTGATTCTGCTCCTCGGCTGGGGGAGGGCCAGGGCGTGGCCCACGCTCCGCTCTCCGCGATGGAGACTGAGTCGGATTTCACATCACTTTCGCTCTCACGAAAAGTTTCTTTTCCTTCCCCCTGAAGCCCGGGCCCCTGCGTGTATTCTTAGCTCCGAAAACGGGAAGTGCCCTGATTCGGCTGGCAGGCGGCAGGGGCCCCATCTCTGAGACTCACAAATCAGATCGGATCACTCCCCGGACGGAAACCCACACACGTTCCGAACACAGACCTCAAACCCTATGCCGAGCTGTCCCCACAGCCCCGGGCCCGCCGGCCACCTCTCTTCCCACGTCTCTTTCCAAAGCGTCTGATGCGTAACCCCGTGCACTTTCGGAGGCAGCAGTGGTGAAGGACGGGTGCATGGACGTGTTGCAAGGCGACCTACTGTGGCCACAGCAGCAGCAAACAAGGGCTCCTTCCCTTCCCGGCCCCGGGGCCTTTGCACCGGCTGATGTCCCACCTGGAAAGCTCCCAGGATGCCCTGCAGGCGCCCAGGCCGAGGGCCCCCGCTGTCAAAGGGGGCGCCCCGTCCGGGCAGCTCCGCTTTGCCACCCATCCCGGTGCGGACCCCTCCCCAGGCCCCGCCTCCCCTCGCCCCCCGCCCCCTAGGCCTGAGCCCCCCGCCTGGCTCACCTGGTCGGCGCCGAAGGGCGTGATGTTGGCCTTGACGGCGCCCACGCCCAGGCCCACGACCACCAGCGCCCCGAGCGCGGCGGGCGCGCAGTAGCGGGCGGGCGCGTCGGCGCAGGGCGGCGCGGAGCAGTTGCGGCCGCCCGTGGGGCGCGGGGCCCCGCAGAGCGCGGCGCGCGTGGCGGGCGCGGCCAGCAGCGGGAAGGCCAGCATGCCCAGCAGGTAGAGCGCCAGGCTGAGCAGGATGGCGCGCGCCCGGCCGAGCAGCGCGTCGGCGAGCCAGCCGCCGAAGGGCGACACCAGGTAGGTGAGGCCCATGAAGAGCAGCAGCGCCTGGCTGGCCTGCGCGCCCTCCCAGCCGAAGCGCGTGCCGTTCAGGAACAGCACCAGGTTGGCCGTGACGCCGTAGAAGGCGGCGCGCTCCAGCAGCTCCGTCAGCAGCACCGCGGCGCACGCCAGCCGCCGGCCCGCGAACGCCGCCCGCCGCGCGCCCAGCAGCGGCGCCCGCTCCTCCGCGCGCCCGCCCGCGCCCTCCATGCGCCCACCCGCCCGCTCGCTCCCCTCCGCGGCCCGGCCCGGCCCGGCCCCGCCCGCGCCCTTCTCGCGAGACCGGCTTACCCCCCCCCCCCCGGCGCCTGGGCCCGCCCCTCGCGCGTTCTCATTGGGCCGGCAAGCCACCCAGCGCTCAGCCCGCCGGGAACTTCCGGCGCCGCCCCCGGAAGTTTTCCAGAGCGGAGCCCCACTTCCGCCGCCGGTGGGGCCGCGGGGCGGAGGCAGTTCCGGGAGTCGGGCTTTGCGGGCGGCGGCTGAGCTGGAGGTCCCCGAGCCCTGCCGCGGGGGACCCAGGCTGCTCGCGGTGGCCCGCGGGGGGGGGGGGGTGCATCGGCCGTCCGGGTCCGGGTGCCAAGGCCGGGCCATGCCCAGGGCCCCCTGCTGGCGCTCCTGCCCGGGGACAGGGGGCGCTGCCGGGGGAGCAGATTCTGCGGGGACGTGAGCGCCTGGTGCCAGGTGAGCGCCGCTCTGGCCTCTGCCCTCCACTGGATGCCACCTCCACCCCAGCTCCTGGGTTGTCACCAGAAATGTCCCCGGAGCCCAGGGGCGTGGCTCAGAGGTTGAGCATCGGTCAGGGTTCGATTCCCCGTCAGGGCCCAGGCCCGGGATGTGAGCTCCACCCCCAGTAGGGGGCGTGCAGGAGGCAGCCCATTGATGTTTCTCTCTATACCTCTCCTTTTCTCTCTCAAAGCCATAAAACTTTTTTTTTTTTAATGTCCCCAGACACCCCCATGTGGCCCCGGGCTGCAAAGTCGACCCCACGGAGAACCAGGGTTCTGGAACAAGCCACGCCCAGAGTCGGTGTCCTTGTCACGTGGCTGGCATCCTGCTTGCCTCCAGCTTTCAGCTTCTTAGAAGCCGTTCTTTCTTCTTTTAAACATTTATTTATTGATTTTATACAGAGAGGAAGGGAGAGGGATAGAGTTAGAAACATCGAGGAGAAACACCGATCAGCTGCCTCCTGCTCGCCCCCTACTGGGGATGTGCCCGCAACCAAGGCCCATGCCCTTCAGTCCGCAGGGCCGGCGCTCTATCCGCTGAACTACACCGGCTCGGGCAGTGGTCGGCAAACTCATTCGTCAGAGCCAGATATCAACAGGACGATTGGAATTACTTTGGAGAGCCACGTTTTTTTTAAACTTAAAATTCTTCTAACGCCACTTCTTCAAAACAGACTCGCCCAGGCCGTGGCATTTTGTGGAAGAGCCACGCTCAAGGGGCCAACCGCGGTTTGCCGACCAGTGGGCTAGGGCGTAAGTTCTGTTCATTGCAAGGCATCCCTTGCAGCACAGCTCCCTGGCTGCAGACGGCCGAGGCGGAGGGGGCGCGGGGACAGAACCAGCCCGTGCAGTGGGGCCTGGCGTTCCCGGCCCAGACCACAGCCCAGGAGCCTGCCTGGGTGTGCGTCCTTCCAGCTGGCAGAACGGGCGGGTTTCGGTTTCACAGGGGATGTGAGAGCCTGGCTGGTGCGGTGAGGGGTGCGGACTCGCCCTCTTCTCAGGCTCTTATCTGGCCTGTGCACAGCGCCCTCTTCTGGATCCTCTCCCTCCTGGGTCGCAGGAGGCCGGCTTTGGCCAATAGGGAGGGCGGAGGGCGGGGAGAGGGCGGACTGGGAGAAGTGCAGCTGTTCCTGTTCACGGATGTGGGACCACACCCAACAGGTCTATATATATATATATTTTTTTTTAATGTCTTTATGGATTTCCGAGAGGAAGGGAGAGAGAAACATCCATCGGCTGCCTCCTGCACTGCCCCCTCCCCATTGAGTATGGAGCCTGAAAGCCAGGCCTGTGCCCTTGACCGGGAATCCACCATGACCTCCTGGTTCATTGAGGGCGCTCAACCACTGAGCCACACCGGCCGGGCATCTATCTTAATGACCCCGATTCCTTACAGGAGCCTGAATCCGCGTGGAAAGATCACCGGCACTTACAAGTGAACTTGTGTTTCAGGTCAGGCCTTACAGAAAAGATCAAAGGAAAAGAATTGGAAGCCAAACCCAGTATATAATTCAGATGATAACGGCACTTCCAGCCCCGGGGGAAAGAGTGGGGCTGCAGAAAATACCCCGCATTCAGCGTCCATAAGAGCGTTGAGAGGAAATGAGGGCCAATGCAAGGCCTCAGGAGGGGGATGCCTCGCCAAGCCTCCCACGAAAGCCCTCAGGAGACGTCTGTTGGTTTAATTTCAAAGAGACCTAAAGCCAGTCTGTGTAAAGCTCACTTCCGTTAACAGCAAACTGAAAAGAATATTGGAAATACACAGATAACGGTCATGTCCTTGGCAGAGCGTTCCCAGGACACACGCCCAGGAAGGAAAGCTCCGGTGAACGTCGGGGTGTCGGGGGTCACGGTCCCTCGGTCTCTCGGTGCTCCCCAGCCCGGAGGGGCACTCCAGCCCCCGGCCCCCGGGGCTAGGAGCCCATGTGACCTCGGCCCATCCAATCAGCAGGCGTCCTCTGTTGGCGGTGATTGGGACCCACGTTGGTCCCGGACTTACCTGGGGGACCAGGAAAAGAGACGCTTCCTCTCTCCCCCGCGTTTGTCCCGTGGAGAGGGGCCTGGCATTGGGGACACACACACACACACACACACGCCGCGGGGAACCCCAGAGTGAAGCAGCCAGAAGGAGCGGGAATGCAGAGAGAGAGACCTGGTTTCAGAATGGCCTTCCTCCGTGAAAAGCCCGCCGTGTCCTGTGTGTTCCCGCGGGGCCGTCCGTCACTCGTGTGCAAACCGCGGGGCCTGCCCCTGGCCCAGTTCCTCTTCCGGGAACCTGGGGCTGTGCGCGCAGACCTGGCTACGAGCCGCTCGTTACAATGTTGCCTGAAGCAGCAAAACGCCGCACACGGCAACCTTGTGCAATTAGAGGGCAGTGATTACATCCGGATGGAGGTGTGCGGGATATTGTGTAGCTGTTCACGGGGCCCTGCGGGGAGCCGCGGCTGATGGATGGCCCTGTGCTTCCTGTGCGGGTGACAGATCTCAGCTCCCGGACCGCAGCCCCCACACATCAGTTCCCGACGGGCCGAGGTGGGCGGGGCCCATCCGGTTCTCAGCTCAGGGTCTTGCAAAACAGAGATCTCACCCGGGCTCCTTCCAGCCCCTGCGGTTGTGGGGATTTTCGTTCTTTTAAGATGAGGGTTTGAGCCATTTCCTGCTGGCTGTCGGGTGAGGGGGTGCCCCCAGCCTTTGGGTCCCCCAGTGTCCTTTCCACGTCGCCCCATCATCCCAGAGCCACCAGCAGGGACGTGCTCTGACGTCAATGCCTGCCATGCACTAACATTGGGAAATGCCGTCCCTCAAAAGGAACCATCCGCCGGGACCGGTTTGGCTCAGTGGATAGAGCGTCCGCCTGCGGACTGAAAGGTCTGGGGTTCGATTCCGGGCAAGAACATGTACCTTGGTTGCAGGCACAGTAGGGGGTGTGCAAGAGGCAGCTGGTCGGTGATTCTCTCTCATCGATGTTTCTAACTCTCTATCCCTCTCCCTTCCTCTCTGAAAAATCAATAAAAATAAAAAAAAGAAACCATCCTATTGGGTGAGACCCAGCCGGGGCGGCCCCGAGGGGACAGGTGAGCACTTTGCCCACCACAGTGAGTAAAAGAGCCAATGGCTGTGTGTGTGTGTGTGTGAGTGTGAGTGTGAGTGTGTGTGTGTGAGTGTGAGTGTGTGTGTGTGAGTGTGAGTGTGTGTGTGTGAGTGTGTGAGTGTGAGTGTGTGTGTGTGAGTGTGTGAGTGTGTGTGTGTGTATGTGTGTGAGTGTGAGTGTGTGTGTGTGTGTGTGTGTGTGTGTGTGTGTGGAGTGTTCCTGTCTTTGTAACGACAACCACAAACCCCACAGAATAAAAATCAGTGACAAAGAGCACCGTGTCCGAGCCAAGGTAAAGAGCCGGTGAAGAGTTCACTCCTGTGCAGAGCGGCAGCACACGCCCTCTCGATGGGGGGCACTGCCCAGTGCCTGGGACAGCGCGGGCGGGTCCCGGGGAAACCTGAGGTCCGGGTGTTCCCGGAGCCTGGGCCCCGGGCAGGGGGGGCTGGGGGCGGGGCAGGGGGCCCGTCCTGATCTCCGTGCTGACCACAGACGGGTTGCCGTTACGCAATCCGGTGAGTTAACGATTTATTAGGAGGAGCGTGGCTGTGCAGGGCTGTACCGGAGCGGTTAGGGCGCCTGCCTCCGCGGACCGGTGTCCTGCCCGCCCAGAACCCGGCCTCGGGCAGCCCCTGCGTCCAGGCGGGGAGAGGACCGTCTTTGGGGGGACTGGTCCGCCGGCCTCAGGGCAGAGCGGCACCCCAGCCTGGCGTTCCTGCCCCAGCTCTGGGGCAGTCACCTGGGTCCGGAAACCCCGGTTCCTGTCGAAACCGGAGAAGCTGTGGTTCCTCACACCCACGGGTCTTTAAAAAAATTTTTTTTTGGTCGCTCTCAGGGGCCCGGGTGAAAGCCAGGGTTTGGAGACCACAGCTCTGTCCAAACCTCCTTTCCTCTGAGCAGACAGCGAGGCCCCTCTTCCCCGCCTCACTCTCTCTCCGCCCCCCTCCGCCCCTGCCGGCATCTGCCGCTCTCACCCCACAGGGAGGGGGGCAGAGGCCAAACCTCTGACAGACACAGGAGCCGCCGCACGGGAGGCCCAGGCCAGAGGGAAAGGAAGGAGGTGGTGACCCCGGAGCCGGCTCTGAGGTCCCTTCGCCCAAAGGTCCAGAGTGCACCCCGTCATCACCGGGGGAGACCCGCTGTGTGCGCTGTTATTATAAACACATCCCCGTGGGTTCAGCGAGGAGGGGAGGAGAGAACCGTCACTGAGGAGAAGCAGGGATGGGCCGCCTCCTCCCCGCGATCCGGGCATGTGCCCCGGACCTTAGGAACCGTGACTCCCGGTTCCTGGGTGGGCGCTCAGGGCATGGGCCACAGGATGGGGGCCCGTCCCCACCCCGTCCCCACGGGAGCAGCCCGGAGCCACCCAGGTCCCGGGGGGGCGTGGCCACATCCCGTGGGAAGGGCCCCGCGCCCGGTGCTGCCGGTCCCGCGGGGCAGCCACACCGGTCGCCTCGGACCCCGCGGAGGCCCAGGTTCCTCCTGGTTCCCCGCCCCCAGCGCCCCGCGGCCCCGCGCGCCCGGAGCCCCGGCGCTGAAACCGGCGAGTCGGGCGCGGCTCCCGAGCCTCGGGCGGTTCTCCCCGACCCCGCGGCGCCGCCCGGTGAGCCTCCCGCCCCGCCCGGCCCGCCCCGCGGGCGGTGGATGGCCCGGCGGCGGCGGCATGCGGCTTCTGTTCCTGGCGGTGCTGCGGCCGCACACGGGCAACGCGGTCACGGCGCGGCGGGTGCGGTAGGTGCGGGGCGGGCCGGGGCCGGGGCCGGGGCGGGGCGGGGGCGCCCAGCTCTCCTCCGGCTCCGCGATCCGCGCGCGCAAACGGCCGGCGGGGCCCGCGGGGGCGCGGAGCGCGGGGAGCGGCGCGCGGCCGGGTCCGGCTCTGGTCCCGCCCAGGTCCCGGCCCAGGTCCCGGCTCGGGCTCCGGCTCCGGCTCCGGGCCGCTGGGCCGGGCGGGGACCCTCTGGGCTGGCGGCCGGGACGCGCACCCGCCCGCGGGCCTGCGCGCGGCTCCCCCGCGGGCGTCGGTGCTTCGGGGCGCCGGGTCGGGGGGGTCCCCGGGTCGGGGGGGCCCGGGTCGGAGGGGCCCGGGTCGGGGGGGGTGCCGGGAAGCGGCGTTGGACTCCGCGGCGCTGACCTCCCCGCGGGGCCGGGAGGCGGCGGAGACACGCGGACGAACGGAGGCGGGGGCGCGCGCCCTGAGCCGCCCGGGGCGCGTGCGCAGGTGCCATTCCGGCCGGACGCGGGGCGGCCTCCAGGAGCAGCGTGTGCGCAGAATCGGGGGGGGGGGGGGGGGAGGAGGGGGGAGGAGGGGAGGGGCATCGAGGCGAAGACCTCCGGGGCCTTGGGGTGCGCTCTGTACCCTGGTCCCCAAAGGGCCCTCCCTCCTCCCTTCTCTCTCCTCCTCCCCTCCTCCCTCCCCCTCCTCCCTCAACCCCTTCCTCCCTTCCTCCTCCCCCCTCCCTCCTCCTCCTCCCCCCTCCTCCTCCTTCTCCCTCTTTCTTCTCCCTCCTCCCCCTCTCCCCTTTCTCCTCCTCCCTCCTCCTCCCCACTTCTCTTCCTTCCTCCCTCCTCCCTCCTTCCTCCTCCCTGCACTCAGTTCATCTTTGGTTGCTGTTCACCCTGAACTGAGGGTCTTTCCCCATTGATGTGGGGAGGTTAGGAGAGGGAGGGGCAGAAAGAAACCTCAAGGGGAGGGAGGCACACGGATGGGTTGTCTCCCACGGGAGCCGGGACCAGGGCCGGGATCCCGCAACCGAGGGACTTGCCCTTGACCGGAATCGAACCCGGGACCATTTGGTCCGCAGGCCGGCGCTCTACCCACTGAGCAACACCTGCCAAGGCTGTCTTTTTAAAAAATTTCTCCCATTACAGTTGACATTCTATTTTATGTCAATTTCAGGGGAGCAGCTGGGTGGCCCGAGGGGCCCTCACGTCCTGACCCCCGGCTCTGTCTCGGGGGAGGGGAAGGGGTTTGGGGAAGGGGGAGGGTACTAATTTGTGTGCTGAGCCAGGGACACGGAGGGGGCAGGGGCTGCCCCACGCTTAATAGAAGCTCCTTTTTTTATTTTTATTTTTTAACAAATTGAATTACTCCTTCAAGTTTCTCAGTTTACTTCCTGCCGAAGGTCTGCTTCCTCCTCATTGAGATGAACAGTCCTGCTCGGCCTGTGTGGCTGGTGCTGCGCATCGACCTACAAACCAGGAGGTCAGGGTTCGATTCCCGGTCAAGGGCACAACCCAGGCCAAGGGCACAGGCCCCAGTGTGGGGCGGTGCAGGAGGCAGCCGATCCGTGACTCTCTCTCCTCATGGACGTTTCTCTCTCCCTCTCTCTCTCTTCCTCTCTGAAACCAATAAAAATAAGTTTAAAAAAGGAAAAAGAAAAGCAGTCTGGTGAGTTACACATCGAGGTCAGAGGCCAGGGTCAAAGTTCATCTGACAGGCGGGGAGGGGGGGGGAGAGGTGGCAGGGGGCCCGGCGGGCTCAGGGAGGTGCGTGCCTCGGGGAGGGGTGCACATGGCGTCAGAGGGAGCCTGGTGGGAGCTGGCCTGGGGCCGGGCCTCAGAGCCGGACAGACCTAAGGGACGGGAACCTATGTTTGTATCTGATCGGCAGCCACAGGCACACACTGTGGGGCGCGCAGCCGTGTGGCCGTGGTGGCCGTGGTGGCTGTGCGCTCTGAGGCGTGAGGGCCCAGACCCGGACGCCGCCCGGCGGAGGGGACGGGGCCTCTGCCCACATCCCAGAGATGTTTACTCTCTGGCCACTGCAAGGACAGGTTTTCCTCCCCTGCTCTATGTCTTCTTATATGTCTACTCTTCTTGATTTCAGAGAGGAAGGGGGAGGGACAACGGACGGACGGACGGACGGACGGACAGGATGAGAGAGAGTCACTGATTGGCTGCCTCCTGCACGCCCCCTCGGCCGCCGCCAGAGGCTCTGCAGGTGCCAGAGCTGCGGACTCGGCTCTGCCAGCTCCTCGCCCCGGGAAGCGGCCGGGGCTCTGCCGTCCGTGTCCGGAGTCCCGGGGGCCCACGGGCCCGGGCGTCAGGATTGAGGGGTGCCAGGTGGCCCGGAGCTGGGCTCGGTGCTCTGGGCGGGGACCCGTTCTCGAGGTCACCACCTGGGACACAGCGTTCTTATCGGAGAGGAAACACTTCAGATAAAGGAGGACAAACAAGCCTGAGGGCAAACAAGCCTGAGGGCACAGTGGAAGGGAGGGGAGGAGGGGGAGGGAGGAGGATGGAGGGGGGAGGGGGAGGGAGGGTGAGCGGGAGGAGGGGGAGCAGGAGGGGGAGGAGGGAGGGGGAGGGGAGGGGTGGAGGGAGGAGGGGGAGGGAGGGGGAGGGGAGGGAGGGGCCTGAGGACCCAGTGGCAGAAAAGGCAACCTCCCCCCTCCCCCCCCCCCAGCGGGCCGGTCCTGCCCCCGTGGAGGCAGATCCTCCTGGAATTGCCTGTGGGTGGTTTTCCAGTTTTCCTTCTTTATTTCTAATATGTTTTATTGACGTCAGAGAGGAAGGGAGAGGGAGAGAGAATCATGGGCCGGCTGCCTCCTGCACGACCCCCACTGGGGATGGAGCCCGCATCCCAGGCCTGTGCCCTGACCCAGGATCGAACCCTGATCCCTTGGTTCCTAGGTGGACGCTAAGCCCCTGAGCCACGCCGGCCGGGCTGATTTGAAATCTCAATTCTGCCCTGACCATGTGGCTCAGTGGATAGAGCATCCGCCAGCGGACTGAAGGGTCCCAGGTTCGATTCCGGCCAAGGGCATGGACCTTGGTTGCGGGCTCATGGGTGTTTCTCTCTCATCGATGTTTCTAGCTCTCTATCCCTCTTCCTTCCTGCCTGTAAAAAATCAATAAAATATATTTTAAAAAATAACAAATCCCGATCTGGCGGCCTGGGCGTGTCCCCGCCCCCATCGCGCTCTCTGTCCCGCCTCCGCTCAGGGCCCACCTGGAGGCCGAGGGCCACGTGTGCCTCCTGAGGGACGCCTCCGACTTCGCGGGCCCCAAGGACGTCGCCGAGCTCATCCGGGCCGAGGCCGTGCAGGCGGCCCTGGCGCTGCACCTCTACCGGGCCGGCCGGCTCCTGCAGGGTGAGCCCCGCCCCCGCCCCCCCCCCCCGCCCGGGGCACCGGGGCCCCAGCACCCACCTCGTCCCCGAGCACCCACCTCGTCCCCGAGCACCCACCTCGTCTTCCTCCCCGGGGGCACCAGGGCCCCAGCACCCACCTCGTCCCCGAGCACCCACCTCGTCCCCCTCCCCGGGGGCACTGGAGCCCCAGCACCCACCTCCTCCCCGAGCACCCACCTCGTCCCCCCAGCACCCAGCTGTCCAGGAACACACCCCACGCAGCCCCTCGGCCTGGCTCCGCGGCTGAGCGCCGACCTATGAACCCGGAGGTCTCAGTTCGATTCCCGCTCAGGACACAGGCCCGGGGTGCGGGCTCCATCCCCACTAGGGGGCGTGCAGGAGGCAGCCGGTCCGTGATTCTCTCTCATCGACATTTCTCCCTCCCCCCTTCCTTTCCTCTCTGAAACGAATAGAAACATATTTTTAAAATAAAATAAACATAAACCATCCCCGGGTTGCTGGATGTGGGGCTCCGGCCGTGGCTTTGGGCGGGGCCGGGGCGGGGCGGGGCCTGTCATTGCCGGGGCCCCTCGCCCCGCCCCCCCGCAGGCCACGGCGTCCCGTTCGGGGTGGTCTTCGGCGGCACGGACCTGAATGAAGACGTGCAGCAGGGGGACAAGCACCGCGTGATGGGGGCGGTCCTGGAGGAGGCCAGGTGCGTGGCACCCGCGGGCCGGGGCGGGGGCGGGGGCGGGGAGGGGGCTGGTGACGCGGAGACCGAGGAAGGCATACGTCCTCCCTGCAAAGCCGCCTCTTTCTTTCTTCTGACAATTTTTAAAATATATATTATTGATTTTGTACAGAGAGGAAGGGAGAGAGACAGCAAGTTAGAAACATCGATGAGAGAGTCATCCATCAGCTGCTTCCTGCACACCCCCCACTGGGGATGTGCCCGCAACCAAGGTCCATGCCCTTGACCGGAATCGAACCCGGGGCCCTTAAGTCCCCAAGCCGACGCTCTGTCCACTGAGCCAAACCCGTCTCGGCCTTCTGACACTTTTTTACAAGACATTCTTACCGATGTCAGAGAGGAAGGGAGAGGGAGAGAGAGAAACATCCATGAGGAGAGAGAGTCCTGGACCGGCTGCCTCCTGCACCACCCCCCCCTGGGGTTGGAGCCCGCCGCCCGGGCCTGGGCCCCGACCGGAATCGAGGATTCCTAGGTGGATGCTCAACTCCCGAGCCCCACCAGCCAGGCTTACTTCTGTAATTCTTCATCCAGCTGCCCCCTCCCTGCATTCCGAGTTAGCACCTCTATTTTAATTTTTTAAAATACATTTTTGTTGATGTCACAGAGGAAGGGAGAGGGGGGGAGAGAGAAACATCCGTGATGAGAGAGGATCCTGGATCGGCTGCCTCCTGGGGACGGAGCCCGCAACCCGGGCCTGTGCCGTGGCCGGGGATCGAACCCTGACCTCCTGGTTCCTCAGCCGCTGAGGCTTTTGTCTTGAAAGCTTCATTCGGTCCTGCGCAGGCGCTCCGTGCTTCCCGCCTCGGCTCCCGGTCCGTCTGTGCGTCTCCTCGGGCGGCTCGGGGACGAGCGGGGCCTCCCCCTGACCGGCTCCTCTCGCCCCCCCAGGTTCGCTGTGGCGTTCACCGAGGCCATGCGGGCGGCGGCGTGCCGGCAGTGGGTACGTGCCCGGGCCGCCCCAGGCTCCCGGGGGTCCTCCCTGTGCCCCCCCGGCCCCGGGCGGGGTCCCTGAGGCTGCTTCCCCGTCTCCGCGGGATTTCCCTGCTTCCGCGGCCGCCGTCCTGTCTCTGGAAGCTGTAGCCGTGGCCTTCGGTTCACCGTTTCTCTCCCTCCTTCCCTCCTTCCCTCCTTCCCTCCTTCCACAGCCTCACGCCGAGGACAAGATCTGTGTCCAGGGCCAAGGTGAGTATTTGTGTGTGGGGGGGGGGGGAAGGGGGCGGGGATATTCTCACCGTTGAGAGACAAGGACTGAGGAGTCCCGGGTTCAATTCCGGTCAAGGGCATGGAGCTTGGCTGCGGGCACATCCCCAGTGGGGGGCGTGCAGGAGGCAGCCGATCCATGTTTCTCTCTCATCGATGTCTCTGACTCTCTCTCCCTGTCTGTGAGGATCAATGAAATATATTAAAATATAAAGAAGAGAAAAGGTAGCCTGGGAGTGGCTGCCAGGAGACGCAGTGTGCCTGTCCACGTTCCGTTTCCCAGGACGGTGGGCTGGCCTGTCTGAGCGGGTGTTCCCGAGGGCAGGCACCGGTCTGGAGAAGCGGGGGTCGGGGGCGGAAATAAGGACGTTTCTACCCGGACTGTCTGAGTGCGGTTGTCAATGTTTTAGAAGCTTGCCACTTACACACACACACACACACACACACACAAAGCAACCTTATTATTGCATCGCTTAGCATTAAAAAAATACACGCTTGGTGATTTTTATAGAGAGAAGAAGGGAGAGGGAGAGAGAGAGAAAGAAACATCCATGATGAGAGAGAACCATGCATCCTGCCTCCTGCACACACACCCTCTCCCCCCACCGCTGGGGATAGAGCCGGCACTCCAGGCCTGTGCCCTGACTGGGAATCGAACCCTGACCTCCTGGTTCCTAAGCTGATGCTCAGCCCTGAGCCACGCCCCCTGGCCCTTACACAGGATTTTAAGGAAACAAACCTAGTGGCCCCGAGGCACTCTGGCCCAGACTGGAACTAATTCATTCTCTCTCTCCCCCCACTTCCCCCCCCCCCCCCCCCCCCCCCCGTGGCCCAGGAATCACCACGGCTCCCAACGCCGCCTTCGGGTGGGGCACCTTCCTCCAGCGCGCAGGTGAGGGCGCTGCAGGGCGGGGCTCCAGAGCGGCTGTGGAGTCAGCGGGTCCCAGAGGCTCCAGGTCCGGGCGGGCGGGGGCGGGGCGGGGGGGGGCAGGAGCGGCTGGAGGCAGAGGGGAAGGGGACACGGTTCTGTCCGTTCTGGTGCAGAGCCCCTGGCAGAGGAGGCGGCGCTGTAGCCGCTGAGCCACACTGGCCGCCGCCCTCCGACCTCTCGTCCCGCAGGCATTCCCCAGAGCGCGGACACCCTGCACGTGTTCCTGCTCATCTGCGGGCTGCGGCCCGTCAAGGACCCGCTGTTCCTGGTGGACGCCTTCGCGGGTGCGTGGCCGAGGGCCGCGCGGGGTCCCGGCTCAGGGTCCGGGCTCGGCCTCCGCACGGCGGGCAGCGCCGCTCCGGCCGGGCCTGTGGGGACACCGGAAAGCGATGCTCCGTGGGCCCCGCCGTGGCTCCTCCCTCACCGTCTGTGCGGCCCCGAGGAGCGTTAACCTGGGAACCCGAAGGTCAGGGTTCGAGTCCCGGTTGGGGCACAGGCCCGGATGTGGCTCCATCCCCAGCAGGGGGCGTGCAGGAGGCAGCCGGCCCATGGTTCTCTCTCCTCATGGATGTTCCTCTCTCTCCCTCTCTCTTTCTCGCCCTCCCTCCCTCCCTCCCTCCCTTCCTCTCTGAGATCCATAAAAATATATTTTTAAAAAACCGCCGGGAGTTCTGAGGCTCCGGCGGCCGCTGGCGCGCTGGGCGTGGAGTCCGCGGCTCCGGTGCCCCTCACTCCTCACCGCCCGATGAGCGAGGCGTCAGCGAGGGGCGAGGCCCCAGGATCATCCTACTTACCCACGAGCAGGAAACGCCAACGTCCTCACCTTCCCTTTATTTTTACTTTTTAAATATATTTTTACTGATCGCAGGGAGGAGGGAAGGAGAGAGAGAAACATCCCTGATGAGAGAGAACCAGCGATCGGCTGCCTCCCGCACGCCCCCCCCCCCCCGCCCAGTGGGGCGGAACCCACACCCTGGGCCTGCGCCCTGGACCGGAATCGAACCCGGGACCTTTCAGTCCACAGGCCCACGCTCTGTCCACTGAGCCGCACCGGCCAGGGCCAGTTTTTGCCTTTAAACCACCTCGTTCGCTCGCCGCCGGGAGGGACCCCGGAAGGTGAAGTGGCTCCCAGGCCTGTGTGTCCCGCTGGGATGGGACCGTGGCTAACGTGGCCCCCCCTTCCCTCCCCCCCAGAGTGGCACCGGGAGGAGCCGGGCGTGTACCTGGTGATCGTCGGCCCCGAGGTGAGCGGAGCCCCCGGCCGGTGTGAGGGAGACGGAGACAGGAACGGCTCCGCCTTCCCCTCCCCCAGCCCCTCCCCCAACCCCCAGCTTCCCCCTCCCCCAGCTCCCCCAGCCCACCCTCCCCCAGCTCTCTGCTCCGCCCTCCCCCAGCTCCACCTCCCCTTCCCCTCCCCCAGCCCCTCCCCCAAACCCCCAGCTTCCTCCTCCCCAGCTCCCCCTCCCCCAGCTCCCCTTCCCCTTCCCCTCCCCCAGCTCCCCCCTCAGCTCCCCCAGCCCCCTCTCCCCCGGCTCCCCCCTTCCCCGGCCCCCGTAGTAACAGGAAGCTGCCGTGTTGGTCCCGGTGTTTCACGCCTTGTGTCACTCACACAGACAAAGAACATTCTGTCAGTTCCCGTTCAAATTACATTCACTGTTAATAACACCGCAGCGTGGGGGGGGGGGGGAGAAGCAGGGGGAGAGGCAGGGGGAGGCGGAGAGGCAGGGGTAGGTAGGTGGAGGGAGAGGAGGGGGAAGGAAGGAGAGGAGGGGGGTGGGGGAGAGGCAGGGGGGTGGAGGGGGAGAGGAGGGGGGAGAAGGGGGAGGGAGAGGCAGGGGGAAGAGGGAGAGGAAAGAGGAGGGGGTAGGAGGGAGAGGAGGGGGGTGGGGGAAGAGGCAGGGGGGAGGAGGGAGGAGAGGAGGGGGAGAAGGGGGAGGGAGAGGCAGGGGGAAGAGGGAGAGGAAAGAGGAGGGGGTAGGAGGGAGAGGAGGGGGGTGGGGGAAGAGGCAGGGGGGAGGAGGGAGGAGAGGAGGGGGAGAAGGGGGAGGGAGAGGCAGGGGGAGAGGGAGAGGAAAGAGGGGGAAGGAGGGAGAGGCAGGGGGAGGGGGTGGGGGATGTGCAGCAGAGCCAGCCTCTTGGTGACAAGTGCACGCTGCAGGCTCCCACTGACAGGCCCCTGGTCCCTGCCCCCCCCCCCCCCCGGGCCTGCCCCGGGCTCCGGACTCGGACCCACAGCCCAGGGGAGGGTGTATTTCTCCCCCGGTGTTCGCGGGGCAGAGCCGGCTCTCCGGCTCCGCTCACCCTGTCCGGTCTCTGCAGGTGGACCCGGTGTTCACGAGGGAGGTCAAGGCCAAGGTGGAGAGGTGAGCGCCGGGAGGGGGTTAGCGGGAGGGTGACCCGTGGCCAGCACTGCCCCGTCCCCCCGTCCCCCGTCCCCGCGGCAACGCGTCCGGCGTTCCACTCGGGCTCCTCCCCCGCCCGGCCTTGCTGCAGGGCGGCGGGCGTGCGGCTGCTCCCCGAGATGGCCCAGGCCGACCTGCACGCGGCCGAGAAGAACTGCCTGGCACTGGTCAACAGCTCGCTCTCCGAAGGCATGTCGGCGGCCATTCTGGAGGTAACGCTCCCAGGCCCCTCCCCCCTCCCTCCCTCCCTCCTCCCCCTCCCCCCTCCCAGGCCAGGCCGCGTCTCCCTCACGTCTCCCCAGGAGCTCGGGCGGACAGCACCGATGTGGGGACTCATTTACTTTATTTTCCCAGATGCATTTTTTTTTTTTTAAATTGGTTTCAGGGAGGAAGGGAGAGGGAGAGAGAGAAACATCCATGATGCGAGAGAATCCTGGACCGGCTGCCTCCTGCACGCCCCCCACTGGTGGGGATGGAGCCTGCAGCCTGGGCCTGGGCCCTGACCCGGAATTGAACCCGGGACCCTGCAGTCCTCGGCCGATGCCCTAACCACTGAGCCACGCAGCCAGGGCAGGGCCCCCATGGTCTCCTCGCTCTTCCGCCCGCCCGCAGGCCATGGACCTGGAGGTGCCGGTGCTGGCCAGGAACATCCCGGGCAACGCGGCCGTGGTGCAGCACGGGGTCACCGGGCTGCTGTTCTCGGACCCTCAGGTAAGGGGTTCGAGGGGCGGGGCGGTGTCATGTGTCTCCACGCCGTGCACGTCAGCGCTCAGCGTCCGGGTCACGGTCAGGGTCACCCCCCCCCACCCACAGCGGCTCTGCTGTGTCCCCAGGGGCCGCTGGACGCCCCTCCAGAGACCACCTGGGGGCGTGTGGGAAACGGGGGGCGGGGCCCTCGGGGTCCTGCCCCAGCGGCCATCTGCTGGGCCAACGAGGGAGGACACCACGGGCGGCCACACGGCATCTAGGCCCGGGTTTGCATGGCGGCCGGCCCTCCTGCAGGCCCCCGTCCTCCCCGGGGAAAGCGAGGCGCGACGCGGGCCCAGGCTTGGGGCGCCTCGGCCGCCCTCCTCCCCGGTGACCCCGTTTCCCCCGCTTCCTCCCGGGCAGGAGTTCGTGCAGCTGGCCCGGAGGCTGGTCCGGGACCCCGAGCTGGGCGCTGAGCTGGTGGCGCGGGGCAGGGAGTACGTGAGGACGCGGCACTGCTGGCGGGCGGAGCGGGACACCTACCAGCGCCTCGTCCGCTCGCTGGAGGGGGGCGCGGCCCGGCCGGCCTGCTGACCAGCGCCCCGCCCCCCTTCTAACGGGTCTGCCGGGGTCAGGGCCCCCTGTCCGGGCCTCCAGAGGCGAGGACGGGCCGCGGAGTCTGGAAGGAGCAGACGCGAGGCCGCGGCCCGATGGGCAGGAAGCTGGACGCTGTCCCTGGTGCTGACCGCCCAGATCCCGGCTCCGTGGCACCGCGTGTTCCCCTGACACACGTCTTATCCACGCGCACCCCGGCCTCGTGTCCGGGGTGCGAGCATGTTTTTAGGGGAATAAAGTGTGTGGTCAGCAGCCTGCTAAGCTCCCCTCTCTGTGGTTACCGGGCAGGTAAGGCCCCACCCACGGCCGGGCCCCGTCCACCGCCCGGTCCCCAGGGTTTTAAAAGGCGACGGAAGACCTGAGCATCTAATACAGAGATTTAAACCCAAACCACTAGTCCCACGGGGAGGTGTACACAAATGCTTTTCTTTCTTTTTCCCCTAATATATATATATTTTTTTATTGATTTCAGAGAAAAGGGAGAGGGAGAGAGAGAGAGGAACATCCATGATGAGAGAGAACCATGGACCGGCTGCCTCCTGCACGCCCCCTGCTGGTGGGGATGGAGCCTGCCACCCCGGGCCTGTGCCCTGACCAGGAATCGCACCCTGGCCTCCTGGTTCCCCCGTGGAGGCTCCACCCTGAGCCAGGCCGGGGGGCGGACCAGGCTCCGTTTGAGGTGACGGCGTTGCAGGGCCCGTGGGTGATGTTCTGACTGTGCCAGGCGCCCCGCCTCAGGCTGAGGAGCCGGGTGCCTGGGCGCCAAGGCTGCGGGGGCCGCGGTCTGTCGCGTGGAGACACCCCCCCTCCAGCCGTCAGGCCGGTCTCTCATCCGGGAACAGGAGCTTCAATGCCGGCGCGGTGAGTCACCGCAGGGTGCGTCCGCTAATGAAGCGTCTCACGCCGCCTGGCTCCCGGAGCCCCCGCCCCGGCTGTCAGTCCAGGGAGCCAACCTGCTCCTTCCCCCGGGCCGTTATCTGCAGGAAGCAGAGCAGGAGCCAGAGCTAGCCTGCGGCTCCCGGCTCTGTGCCTGGAGGCCTCGGTGTGGGGCGGGAGGGTGTGTTGGGGCGGGAGGGGGTGTGTGTGGGGCGGGAGGGTGCATGTGGGGGCGGGAGGGTGAGTGAGGGGGCGAGAGGGTGTGTGGGGCGGGAGGGTGTGTTGGGGCGGGAGGGTGTGTATGGGGGCGGGAGGGTGTGTGTGGGGCGGGAGGGTGTGTTGGGGCGGGAGGGTGTGTATGGGGGCGGGAGGGTGTGTGGGGGGGCGGGAGGGTGTGTGTGGGGCGGGAGGGGGTGTGTGTGGCGCGGGAGGGTGTGTTGGGGCGGGAGGGTGTGCGGGGGGCGGGAGGGTGTGTGTGGGGCGGGAGGGTGTGTATGGGGGCGGGAGGGTGTGGGGGGGCGGGAGGGAGTGGGGGGGGGCACGGCCGAGGCCTGTGCCGGAGTGAGGGACGCGGTCAGTGCGGGCCCTGGTCTCTGGGCTTCTCTCCGCCATGATCACCCCCCCCCCCCACCAGGCCGCCACCCCGCCAGGAACATCCTGGGTACGTGGCCGGGTCTGGAGGGGCCGCTGGAACCCGTCACACCTGACAGCCAGCAGGCGGCCCCGGGGCCACAGGGCTTTGCAATCCGTCCTCCTGGGAGCCCAGAGCTGGGGGGAAACGGGGAGGCGGGGCGGAGCAGGGAGGACGGCCCTTTGGCTTGGGTTCCAGCAGCCAGCGGAAAGCGGGCCCGGGGCGGGGCAGGGGGGGGCACTCCTGTGGCTCCCAGGATGGGTGGCCCGCGGGGCTGCTGCTGTGGGAATGGCATCCTCAGAGGTGAGGGGCTCCCCTGAGGTCGGCTCTTGCCATGTCGTGGCGGCCCAACCCGTGACGCTTTGGGGGAAGCCCTGGGGTGTCCAGGGAAGCCCTGGGGTGTCCAGGGAAGCCCTTGGGTGTCCTCGGAAGCCCTCGGGTGTCTTCGGAGGCCCTCGGTGTCCTCGGAAGCCCTTGGGTGTCCACGGAAGCCCTCGGGTGTCTTCGGAGGCCCTCGGTGTCCAGGGAAGCCCTCGGGTGTCCTCGGAAGCCCTCGGTGTCCAGGGAAGCCCTCGGGTGTCCTCGGAAGCCCTCGGGTGTCTTCGGAGGCCCTCGGTGTCCAGGGAAGCCCTCGGGTGTCCTCGGAAGCCCTCGGTGTCCAGGGAAGCCCTCGGGTGTCCTCGGAAGCCCTCGGGTGTCCACGGAAGCCCTCGGGTATTGAGTCGCTGCTGGGAAGGGGGTGAGATTCTCTCTCTCGCCGCTAGGGAGCAGCACGTGGCTGGGCTTGGTCCAGGGGATTCTTGGTGCAGGGATTTTGAATCTGCCGCTCCAGCGGCAGGGCCGCGGGTGGCTTTGGTGCCTTTGCTGTGGCAGCTCCTTGCCCAGGCCTTTCCGGCCTCCGTGGACGCTCGGAGCTCCTCGTGCCTTCCCGGCAGCGGGTCCGCTTCTGCCGCTTGTGACCAAGAAACCCGACCACCTGCCCCCACAAGCTTCTCAGAACACGCCGTGGGCTCTGCGCTTTACAGACACCCTGCCTCCATGACGCCTTAGCCTGGGCTCACACGCTGGCCACCGGGAAGCAGACCTGCCCTCGGGGACGGAGCGGGGAGAGGATGCAGAGGGAATCCGCCCCGGGGGCCCCCCCGCATTCAGCCGTCGCCCCCAAACCCACCGCCGCTCTGGTGGCCCCACAGGAGACCGGACCTGCGGGCACAGCGTGTGTCTGACTGCGCAGCTGCCCGTGGAGTGGGAAAGGCAGGCATCGCGGCCAGGTGCCGCGCTGGCTTGCACGCCCAGCTCTGACCCTAAACTCTCCCGTGCTTCACCCTCTCTCTGCTTTATTTTATTTTTTAAAAAATATATCTTATTGGTTTTTTACAGAGAGGAAGGGAGAAGGATAGTTAGAAACATCGACGAGAGAGAAACATCCATCAGCTGCCTCCTGCATACCCCCTACTGGGGATGTGCCTGCAACCAAGGCACATGCCCTTGACTCTGGAATCGAACCCGGGACTCTTCAGTCTGAAGGCCGACGCTCTATCCACTGAGCAACACCGGTTAGAGCCTCTCTCTGCTTTGGTGTCTAATCTGTAACCAGGGGCTGATGGTTATCGCTGCCGGGTGGGGCTGATGATACATTGTATCTGTGAACGGAGGGATACAAACTTGCAGCCACTCCAGACAGGTGGTTGAGTCGTTCGAAGTCTCACAGCTGGGATTCGGAGCTCCGCATTTGGGCTCAGGGGCTCCCTGAATCCTGGGCAGGCAGAGCACCCCGCCCCCTTCATCCCCTCCCCCCCACAGTTTCCCTCCGGGAGAGGAACCTGGACAGACTCTCACCTGCCTGGGGGTCTCGGGGGCCTGGTCCCCGCAGGACACCTGGTGGCCGTTACTGCGAGCAGGACCTGTTCTCCAGCTGGCTGGCCGCCGGGGCTTGTGGGTCTGGAGGCAGAAGTTCCAAAGAGGGGGAGCGGGGGCAGGGCTCTCTTGCACGCCCCCTGCTGGCGGGGAACGGGAACCCCAGCCCGAGGTGCACCTGCCCCAGTGCCACGTGGACTAACGCAGGGTGAAGCTACCTGCATCCCTGGGTCAGGTCAGAGGAGGAGCCGAAACCGGTGTGGCTCAGTGGATAGAGCATTGGCCTGTGGACTCAAGGGTCCCAGGTTCAATTCCGGTCAAGGGCGTGCACCTTGACCATGGGCACATCCCCAGTACGGGTGTGCAGGAGCAGCTGATGGATGTTTCTAACTCTCTCTCCCGCTCCCTTCCTCTCTGTAAAAAAAATCAATAAAATTTATTTTTTTTTAAAAAAAAAAAAATAAGAGGAGGCAAAACCGGTGTGGCTCAGTGGATAGAGCGTCGGCCTGCGGACTGAAAGGTCCTGAGTTCAATTCCGGTCAAGGGCATGGACCTTGGCTGCGGGCACATCCCCTCTAGGGGTGTGCAGGAGGCAGCTGATGGATGCTTCTCTCTCATCGATGTTTCTAACTCTCTCCCACTTTCCCTTCCTCTCTGTAAAAAATCAATAAAATAAAATTAAAAAGAGGAGGAGCTGGCGTCCTATTGAAGGTGGTGCTCGCAGGAGACACAGCTCGCCGTTTGCTCAGCCTGTCCCACCAGCGGCACAGGGACTGAGACACACATCGGGGCCCCACCACTCAGGGCCGGAGAAGCTGGCCCTGAGCCAGAGATGGGCCCGTGGACCGGCCCAAGCCCGATTCCGCACCTCGGGGCCGCCTCCCGTGTCCCATCACTTCGGAGCCCGGCAGGACACGCGTGTGTCCCCCCCGTGCTCCTGCCACCAACATGCAGGTCCCCCCGTAGCCCGTGCCCCCCCCCCCGCCGTGCTCCTGCCACCAACATGCAGGTCCCCCCGGAGCCCGTGCCACCCAGCGTGCTGCCACGAGGGGGGTCCGTCTCTTTGGGGACCCCTGAGCGAGGGGGCGAAGGCACTACGTGTCGACCTCACAGGAGACAGAGCAAGCCTGGGCTCCCGGCTCCATGTCCAGAGGCCCCGGTGTCCGGCCAGCGGTGTCCGCACTGGCCCCGCCGCTCACACCCTTCTGCGGCCGGCCGGCCGGCCGGCGGTCAGCGTGGGTCTTTGCGGCGGCAAGGCGCTCGCGGGCTCCCGGGGGCCCAGGGTGCAGAGCAGGGGCAGCGTCCGGGCTCCTGGGCTGAGGGCCCGCAGGCCGCTGAGTCCTCCCGGAAGCTGCCTTGCCCGGAGCTGACCTTGGGCGGCCGCGCAGCAGACACAGAGGGTGCCAGACGCTGCGAGGACTGCGATCGATCAGGCCTGCAGGGAGGCGGCGGCGGAGTCGTAAATGCTTATTAATGGCCTGCGACGCGGGGGATGCTGGGCTTCTGGCAGGAAGAGAAGGGCGGGGAGGGAGTTACAGAGCCAGAATCCACAGCCTCCGCCCCGAGGTGGCCGGCTGCCCTGCCCGGCTGCGGGTCGGAATCAAGGGTGGTGGGGGGAGGAAGCTCTTATTACTATTTTTTAAAATATATATTTTTATTGACTGCAGAGAGGAAGGCAGAGGGAGAGAAAGAAACATTGAGAATGAGAGAATCATGGATCGACTGCCCCCTGCGCCCCCGCTCCTGGTGGGGATCCAGCCTGCAACCCGGGCCTGTGCCCTGACCGGGAATTGAACCCTGACCTCCTGGTTCCTAGGTGGATGCTCAACCCCTGAGCCAAGCCTGCAGGTCCCTTTGACTTTGGGGCCTGAGACTAAAGGCTCTCAGGGACCAGGGCCTCTAGGGACCTGCCTCCCGCTGCGGTTACCCGGATGCAGTGAGGGGCGAGGGTGGGGGGCGGATTGCGCGCAGGGCCGGATCTATTTAGCAGCATGCGCGCCGCAGGCTACGGGTCCGCCCCATCGCCCATCAGCGGGCGGAGAATCCCCATGGCTCCTATTGACCATGTCTGTGCTCGGACCGGCCTGGAGGCCACCTGGGAACTGTTTGCAAAGCCCGCAGGGTGTTCAGTCCTAAGTGCTGGGAGGAGAGGGAAGGCCCCTGGGCTGGGAGCGCCCCACCTGGCGGGGGACGCGGGGACAGCACCTCCTCTCCCTCCCCTCCCCCCCCCTGCATCCCATGCCCCACCTCCCCGAGGAGTGCGGGCAGGGGCCCCGCAGGTCACCCACGGCTCTGCCTCCGGGGAGCCCCTCTCTGCCGGGAAGGGCGCTGAGACCCACGGTGGCCAGGGCTGTGTGGAGGCTGATGGGTCTGCCCTGCTCCCTCTCTCTCTCTCTCTCTCTCTCTCTCTCTCTCTCTCTGTCTGCACTGGGGACGGTCAGGGAAGGGGCTGGTGCGCATGGCCTGGGTGCGTTACGGTTTCGAGTTGGTTACATGTTGTGAGGGTGGGGGGTTCGGTCACCTCTTTAGCAGCCCAGCACCCGCCGGTCCCCTTGTAGGTTTATTATTGTTGTTGTTGTTGTTGTTGAGAGACACACGGCAGTGAGAGACATATGACAGGTTGCCTCCTCGCGTGCAGAGTTAAACCTGCAACCCAGGTCAGTGCCCTTGACTGGACTCGAACCCTGGACCCTTCAGTCCGTGGGCCATCGCTCTAGCCCCTGAGCCACATGGCTAGGGCTCCCCTTGTAAGTTTAGCTGCCCGGGGCCTTCACCCAGAGGCTGTGGCCCCCCCCGGCGCCCCCAAATCCTCATGCCGAAGGCGCAGCCCCAGCTCCAGGGGGACCTTCTTTGGAAGCTGGGGCCGCCACTGGGGGGCGCTGACAGCCTCCTATCCACGGGCTTGAGGTCTGGTCCCAGGTGGCAGCAATGAGGGGCCGAGGCGGGGAGGGGCGCCCTGGTGGAGGAGCCACCGCGGGCCCAGTCTCTCCCCTTTCCCTCCTCCCCTTTGGGCACAGGCTGCGGGCAGGGACGGCCTCCTCCACATCCCTGACTGTCCTGGGGACACACCGCTGCCCCACCCGCCCCCCAGAGACGTGGCCAGGAGAATTATTCCCCCGGTTTAAGAAAAGGGGCGGGGCTTCAGCTCTGGGCCCGGGGTGGGGGCAATCCGGGTGTCCTGCCTGGAGGAGGCGGCAGCAAACCCGCTGTCTTCCGTCAGGGACGCTCCGGTGGGAGCGCCCTTTGGCTGGAGTGTCTGAATGTTACAGAGGCTCCCACATCCAGATTCTATTTTATTTTTGGGGGGTGAAATGGGGGTGAAATGCTCGATATTGGCTCGTCCTTTCTAAAATTCACAGCGAAGGCCCGGAAGGGACCGACGTCCTGCGCAGTGACTCCCCTCGCCCCCCCCCCCCCCCGGCTGCAGGTGCAGAGCGCAGGCCCGGGCCTGCCCCGTCACAGATGGGCACACAGTAGGCGGGCAGGCAGCGCCCCCGTTCGCACTGGAGGGCCTTGGGCGCAGCTGCCTGTTCTGTGGCGCCGCCGGGGCCGCGCTGCCAGAGGAACCTGAGGTCTGGGTCTCGGCCCGGACCAGCCCCGGGCCAGGGGCACACAGGAAGCCGCCCTCTGAGAGGGCGCCAGAGCCCAAGGCAGGACAGCGCCATCCCTGCCGGCCGGGGGAGGCCGGGCCGCCCGCCGTGGCTCTCCGCCGTGGCTCTCCGAGCCCTGTCCCTCAGCCGGCGCGGAGCGGAGCCCCGGGACTGACCCGAGAGCCCGCAGGTCCCGCTGGAGAGACCCGGGGCGGGAGGATGCGGCCTGTCACCCGCCTCGCGGAGCCGGCGCGGGGTAATTGCATTGCGCGCCGGGACCCTCCGGCCGGGAGGTCGGGCCGCGGAAGCCGCAGCACGGCCACCCTGGGAGCCGCCTGCCCGGCGCCGGCCCACAGGGGCAGCCGCAAACCTCGGGGGCGGACTCGCCTGCCAGCCGGAGGGTTTGTAAATAAAACACGGGAGCCCTGCCACCTGCCCCATACTCTCTTCCTGTTCCCAGATGGGGGGAAAGCACGTGGGTGAGCCGGAGGAGCAGGGGACCAGGGCGCCCAAAGGGGCCACAGGGAGCCCCCAGGCGGAGGAGTGAGGCAGCTGGGGGAGGGGCTGTGGCTGCGGCGGGGTGGGGGGGAGCTAAGGGGCAAGCCCAGAGCTCAGCTACAGGCAGAGCGCGAGGGAGATGGGGGGGGGGGGCGGGAGGGAGATGGGGGGTCAGGGAGGGAGATGAGGGGGGGAGGGAGATGGAGGGTCAGGGAGGGAGATGGGGGGGCGGGGAGGGAGACTCACATAGAGACACTAAGGAGAGGCAGGGGTAACTAGAGAGGGAATTGGAGAGAGCCAGCGACAGAGGAGACGGAGGGAGACAGCACTGGTGTGAGGTGGCCTGCTCTGCTGCGTCCCCCCCACCTTCGCCCGCCGAGTCCCTCTCCCCTCGGTGGGCACAGGCCTCGCCTCTGAGGGGCGCACAGGCGCCCGGGCCACCCCAGTCTCGCAGACGCACAGGCGCTGTGGTTGCCCGCCGGCTCTCCGAGGCCACGGGCCGTCCATTCTGCCCGTGGGCAGCGGGCACAGGCTCCTGCCCGACCGCCCTGCACGCCCAGAGTCCCGGCCCTCCTCCCCCTGCCCACGCCCAGGGAAGCCCGTGTCCACAGCCCCGGCCGGGGTCCCGCGTCCCTGTCCGACATCGCTGTCCGCCTCTCCCTTCCGGGAATTTTGGATCCAGGTCAGCATGGATCCCCGCGACCACTGTCCACGCTCAGACCAGGTCCTTCCGGGGCAGCCGGCCTGCAGTGCGGCCGGGGGCTTCCTCTGGGACCCCCACCTGGGAGCCCGCAGGGACCCCGGGAGACCGGTGCATGCTGGGAGCTGCCCGCGGCGCGCAGGGACCGGCCCCTGGAGCGGCGTGGGGCCGGAGGGCGCCTCTGAGCACGGTGCAGCTGCTGCAGGGAAACCTCGGTTCTCGGGGTCCGAGTGAGGTCTGGGCCCGCGCCCCGGCGGGCAGGAGAGGACGCTCTGTCCGTCTGTGTGTCTGTGTGTCCTGGGCGCCGGCTACGAAGGTGCTGTGGCCTCCACGCGCCCTGGGGCGCCTCTGCCTGGCTCTGCCGACCCCCCCGCCCCGCTGGCCCTGCCTTCGGGAGATCATGGCCCCTGACCTCGCCTCCCAAGGCCGGCGGGGCCCCCCTCCTAGCAAAACGTGCCCCCCGGGTCCCGCCACCCACGTCCTCAGCGACCCCTTCCGCTCGGCCCCAGGTCAGCGTCCCGCCCTCGTCCACACACGGAGCGGTGGACCCGCGCGGATTTCACATCCGATCCCCTGATGAGAGGGGGCGAGGGGGCGCTCGTCCCTGGAGGCTCCCAGACGCTCAGAGATCCGGGGTTTCAACCATCCCGCCACGCCTGCGCCTCACCGCGGCCGGACGATGGACGGGGGGACCCGGGCGTCCGGAGGGACCAGGCCTCTGGGCAGCGTGGCCTGGGTCTGGTCCTGTGGGTCCTTCCTCCCGCTGGCGGGGCACCCCGGCCGCCCGCCCGTCCCCCCCTTAAAGGCGAAAAGGTGAGTGAGAACCGCTGTCCGCGCGCGCGCACCTGCGTGTGGGCTACGCGTCCTCCCAGAGGATCCCGTCCACGCGGCCGCCTGCGTCCCGCTCCGCAGCGTCCAGGGCCCGGCAGACCCAGGCCGCGCCTTCCTCGCCGCCCGTCCCCGGGGCGCCCGCGGGACCCCTGTCCTCCGGGGAGGCGACGGAGGAGAAGGTGGCGAAGGTCACCCTCCTCCTCTTGGACGTGGGGGACGCGGGCGGCCCGCTCTCCCCGTCGTCGCCCCCGTGGGTGCCGCCCGCGGGCCCGGGCCCGCCCCGCAGCGGCCCGTTGGCGCTGTCCAGGGTGCTGAGCAGGAGCCGGCTCTCCTCGGCGTCCAGGCCCCTGTCCGCCGTGCTGACCAGCGGCGCGTCCGGGGCGAAGGGGAGGCGGCTGTCCAGCAGCTCCGCGCCCGGACCCAGCCCCACCCAGTCGTGCGCGTGGCTCAGCCCCTCCTGCTCCTCCAGCGGCAGCTGCTTGCGCCGCCGGAACTTGAGGGCGAAGGCGGCGCAGTTGGCCAGGAAGACCAGGATGGCCAGGCAGAAGGCGGCCAGCAGCGCGTACATGCCGATCTCCAGGTCGCCCAGCCCCTTGGAGGCCTGCGCCGGGTCGCTCGCGTCCGTGTTCGTGTCGCCGTGGCTCCCGGGGGGCTGGGCCTGGGCCGGGGAGCCGGAGAGGTGGGTGGGGGCGGTCTGTAGGCTGCCCAGGCCCTCCGAGAGGCCCTCCCAGCCCTGGTCCCTCCGCAAGGCCCACCGCTCCGTGGTCGCCGGCCCTCTCCCTCCTGCGGGGCCCACGGAGGCAGACGCGCTGCCGGGCGCCTGGCCCCCCGGCCCGTCCGGCTCCTGAGGGGGCCCGCGGAGCCCCCTGTCCGCCTGTCCGTGGTTGTCCAGGGGCACGCCGGCCCCCGTGTGTCCGCCGCGGCTGGCGTTGGGGCGGACGGCGTCCGTCTGGCCGAAGTTCACCCGGACGGCGGCGGTGCCCGCGGCCAGCACGCCCCTCCGCGTGGCCCTCTGGCAGGACTCGCTGACAGACAGCTCCACCCGGACCAGCGCGCCCTGGCCCTCGGACTCCGCGACGACCACGGGCCACTGGGCGCCGGCGTCTTGGCGGATGGAGACCACGCGCGAGTCCGCGGAGGTGGCCGTCAGCGCGAAGTCTCCCGCCGCGTAGATGTCCAGCGGCGAGACGGCCCCGTCGCTGAACTGCAGCCAGCAGCTGAGGGCCGCCTCCTGGGGGAAGGCAGGCCGTCAGCTGGGCCAGGGCTCCGCGGGCACCGCGTCTCACACACACACACACACACACACACCCCCCACACCTATACACACACACACACACACCCCACACACCACACACACACACACACCCCACCCCCCCACACACACACCACCTATACACACACACACACACACACCACCTATACATACACACACCCCACACACCACACACACACACCACATACACCCCACACCTATACACACACACACACACACACCCCACACACCACACACACACACACCACACACCTATACACACAGACACACACACACACACACACACACACCACACCTATACACACACCACACACACACACCACATACACCCCACACCTATACACACACACACACACCACCTATACACCACACCTATACACACACACCCCACACCTATACATACACACACACACACCCCACACCCTCCCCCACACACACACACCACACCTATACACACACACCACACCTATACACACACACCACACCTATACACACACACCACACCTATACACACACCCCACACCTATACATACACACACACACACACCACACCTATACACACACACACACACACACCACACCTATACATACACACACACATACACACACCCACACCACACACCCCCACAACCACCTACACACACACACACCCCACACCCTCCCCCCACACACACACACCACACCTATACACACACACACAAACACGCGCGCACGCGCGCACGGTGCACAGCCACCCTGACAGCAAGGGGAAGGTGTGAGCTGCGCAGAAGCAGATGTAAGAGCAGGAAGGAAAGTCCACTCCCACACGAGGTCACTGAACTGGCAGCGACGGCCCGGGGCCCCGGGGACACCCCACACCATGAGGCCACCACCTGCGTGCACAGGGAGGGCCACCCAAACTCCATGTTCCCCAGGAGGCAATGTCTCACCTCTGAGGAGAGGGCTCTCACGTGTGCAAACCCCGTTAACTGTGTGACCCCACCTGCTCTCTGACCCCACCTGCTCTCTGACCTCACCTGGGCTTGACCTCACCTGGGGAATGACCTCATCTGGGCGTGACCTCACCTGGGGATGACGTCACCTGGGGGTGACCTCACCTGGGGGTGACCTGCCCATGGACCCCCTCGGCGTCCTGCCCCGGTACCTGGTGGGGCCGCTGCAGCAGCTCCTGGGCGGTGGCCGTGGCGAGGATGGCTCTGTTGCTGCCCGGGCTGAGCTGCAGGGAGAGAGCCAGGCCGGCCACCACCTGCACCCCCAGGTCCGTGACGGCCACCTTCTCGTCCAGCACGCTGATGGTCTTCTCCGCCAGGATGGCGTCCGACAGGGGCGACAGGACCTGGGAGGGGAAGCCGTGGAGGGAGGAGCCTCTGGCCCCGCAGCTGCCCAGCGGCCGGAGGACGGGGCGGGGCCCAGGGGATCGGCGCTTTCTGGGGTCTTCTCCCCCAAACCGCACCCGCCCGGGACACGCCCCGTCTTTGTGAATAACAGCGAGATGGGGGGACTGGACGGGGACATGCCCCCCCACCAGGGGAGAACCTGCCCATGAAGGAGGGGGGCCCAGCGGCGGGGCTCAGTGGCTGAGCATCCCACGCACCAGGAGGCCAGGGTTCCATTCCCCACCGCAGGCCCTGCTGCAGGCTCAGTCCCCGGCAGGGGGCGTGCAGGAGGCTCGATGTTTCTCCCTCATTGTTCTCGCTCTCTGTCTCTCTCTCTCTCTCTCCAATACAAACGTAATACTTAAAACACAGACAAGGGAGAAGCGCCCTGGCCCGGGGGGACGTCTCACCTGCAGGGTGGTCATGCCGAGCTCCTGGCCCACCAGCACCTGCCCGCCCTGCAGCCGGGCGATGCGAGGCTCCTCCACCTGCATGAACTCCCGCACCAGCTCCGTGACGTCCACCTGCCAGTCGGAGCCCAGCAGGTGGGCCAGGGGGCCCCCAGGCTCAGCCGGTTCGGCCACGAACTGAGTCAGGACGCGCACCATGGCGTGTTGGTACTGCAGGGCGCAGCCCCGGCCCCGCCTCTCCTCCTCTTCCTCCTCCTCGCTGTCCCGAGCTGGCCTGGCAAAGGGTCCGCTCAGTTTAGTGGGTCCGGACTCCGTGGGCCAGTGGTCAGGGCTGCGTGAAGGGCGGGGCTGTGTGTGGGCGGGGCTGTGAAGGGGCGGAGCTGTGTGTGGGCGGAGCTGCATGAGGCGAGGCTGTGCCTGGGGGCGGGGCTGTATGGAGGGCGGGGCCGCATGGAGGGCGGGGCTTGCGTGAGGGCGGGGCTTGTGTGGGTGGGGCTGTGGGGACGGGCTGTAGGGGGCGATCTGTGCCTGGGGCAGGTCTGTGTGTGGGCGGGGCTGTGCAGGGGGTGGGGCGGTGTGGAGGGCGGGGCTGTGGGGCTGAGGAGCTTGTGTGGAAGGTGGAGGGACTCAGTGGCGCCCGCTGTCCCCCTCCGCCTGCTCCCATCGGCCCCTAGCACTGACTTGGGGTCCTGACGGGGCCCACCTGCTGTTGGGGACGACGGGCACCCTCCAGCCCTTGATCTGGTTGAGCTCGGGGTCCGAGACCTCGATGTGCAGCGGCAGGCGGGGCGCCCACACGGTGAGGTGCAGGGGCGCGCTCAGGTGCTGGTAGGCGAAGGTCACCACGGCGTCCACCTGCCCCTTCATCTCCCTCCCGTTCACGAAGACCTGGTCGCAGCGGTCAGACACCTGGGGGGTGGGGGGGTGCGGGAGGCCGTGGGTCCCCGTCCCGCGGCCACGGCCACGGCCCACGGCCACGAGGGAAGGCGCTGCTGTGGTCTGTCCTGGGGCCTGTCCGCAGGGAGCCGCCGCGGGGCGGGGCCGGGCCCCAGCACATCCTGGCGGACAGACAGCGAAGTGGTCCCCGCGGGAGCCGCGGGCAGAACACCTGTCCAGGCCCCACCCTCCTCCTCCAGCCCCTGGCCACCCGCTCATTCCCGGGTTCAAGGTTCCAACCCGGGGAGGAGGTGGAGAAACACAAGGTCTGGGGAGCCCCTGAGACCGGCTCCTCCCCTCTGTACCACTATGACCAGCTGTGGTCAGGCCGGCGCGGCTCAGGGGTGAGCATCGTCCTAGGAACCAGGCGGTCAGGGTTCCGTTCCCGTGAGGGCACAGGCCCGGGTGGCGGGCTCGGTCCCCGGTGAGGGGCGTGCAGGGGGCAGCCGGTCCGTGATTCTCTCTCCTCGTGGCTGTTTCTCTCTCCCTTCCTCTCGGAAACAAACCTGAACATCTCTTAAAGGAACAGGCCCGGTGTGGGAGCCGACGGTGGGAGGGGCCGTCCACCCCAGCTCCCCGCCCGCCCCAGGCCCGAGCGGGAACCGCGGCCGGCGTTTCCGGCTCCGACGCGCCCGCCGGCGCTTGTGAGAATTTAACGCCATCCCCTTCTGCGCGAATGTCGCACGAGTGTAAATCGTCGTTACATGTCGCCGACACTTGTGGGGAGATTCATGTTCTCGCGGTCTGCTCTTTTTTTTCTTTTTGAGCTAGAGCTAAGGATATTGAAATGCGTCCCGCCCTCCCCCCGCATCACCGCAGCCTCCGCGGATATTTATGGGCGTCCGTCTCGGCGTCGCCGCTTCGGAACCAGTTTTTACTGGGGCCAAAGGAGTGACGGCACAGACGTGCGGCGAGGGATGCCGGCTGCGAGGCACCTGGTGCTGCGCCCACGGCCCCGCCTGGCACCTGCTCGGACGCCTCGCCCGCCGAATCCTCGCAGGGAGTCTGGTGGGAGGCACCGTGACCCCATTTTCCAGACGGCAAACTGAGGCACAAGGTCCCTCCCTGTCAGGGACGTGTCCCGCCGGCTAAGGAACGAGGCAGCTTTGCCTCCCTCCGTGGCGTCTGCATACATTTGTGTGTATACGAGAGGGTGTTTCTAGCTCTCTCTCCCTCTCAGCTCCTCTCTGAGGTCAATAGAATAGCCTCCTAGTGAATAAAGAGGTAATATGCAAATCACCCATCATGCCCTCTCACAAGATGGCCTCCCCCATGTGGTCAAAGATGGCTGCCACAAGATGGCCGGCAGGGGTGGGTAGTTTTGGGCCATGAGGCCAGCAAGGGAGGGTAATTGGTGTGTGTGTGGGGAACCAGGCCTGCAGGGGAGGGTTAGGGTAGGGTTAGGGTTAGGGTTAGGGTTAGGGTAGGGTTAAGGGTAGGATTAGGGCAGGGTTTGGGTTAGGGCAGGGTTAGGGTAGGGTTAAGGGTTAGGGTAGGGTTAGGGCAGGGTTTGGGTAGTGTTAAGGGTAGGGGTAGGGGTAGGGGTTAGGGTCAGGGGTAGGGATAGGGTTAGGGTTAGGGTTAGGGTAGGGTTAGTATAGGGTTAGGGTTAGGGTTAGGGTTAGGGTAGGGGTAGGGGTTAGGGTCAGGGGTAGGGATAGGGTTAGGGTTAGGGTTAGGGTTAGGGTAGGGTTAAGGGTAGGATTAGGGCAGGGTTTGGGTTAGGGCAGGGTTAGGGTAGGGTTAAGGGTTAGGGCAGGGTTTGGGTAGTGTTAAGGGTAGGGGTAGGGGTAGGGGTTAGGGTCAGGGGTAGGGATAGGGTTAGGGTTAGGGTTAAGGGTTAGGGTAGGGTTAGTATAGGGTTAGGGTTAGGGTTAGGGCAGGGTTTGGGTAGGGTTAAGGGTAGGTTAGGTTTAGGGTTAGGGGTTAGAGTTAGGGTAGGGTTAAGGGTAGGGTTAGGGTCAGGGTCAGGGTCAGGGTCACGGCTCCGCGCGTACAGGGCGGCGGCACTTGCCTTGACGACGCCCTCGTCGGACGAGCGGCACTCCACGGCCCGCGGCAGGAGGGTGACGGTGCCGTCCTGCTCCACCGAGACCACCTTCACCGGCACGGCCACCGCCCGCCCCGTGAGGCCCGCCGTGTTCAGGATCTCCGCCTCCTGGAAGAGCAAGCAGGGACCGGCCGTGAGCCCTGACCCCGCCCTGAACCCTGACCCCGCCCTGAACCCTGACCCCGCCCTGAACCCTGACCCCCGCCGTGAACCCTGACCCCGCCATGAACCCTGACCTCGCCATGAACCCTGACCCCGCCATGAACCCTGACCCCGCCCTGAACCCTGACCCCGCCCTGAACCCTGACCCTCGTCATGAACCCTGACCCCCATCATGAACCCTGACCCCGCCATGAACCCTAACCCCGGTTCCTGGTCCGGTGCTCCGTCACTGAGCCCTGCCCGCCGGCGCTCTCCCTTCCGCCGGGAACGGAGCGGCCTAACCAGGTGACAGCGCCCGCGGGGGCAGGTGACACGGAGCGAGGCCGGTCACAAATGCACACGAGGTCACCCCCCCCCCCCGTGGCCACCGGTTCCATCAGCCACTTCCTGTGCGGCTGACGATGCCCGAGGGTCCCCGTGACCCTGCGGAACGTGCCATCAGACACCTCGTGGGACGTTAGGGTTCAACAGCGCCCCCTGGTGTTCCGGGAGGACAGGTGACCCCTGGCCCCTCACGGGGCCACTTTCTCTCACCTCAGCCGGTATGACTAGGTTCTAGATTGGAGTTCTCTCCCTCTCTTCTCTCTCTCTCTCTCTCTCTCCTCCTCCTCTCTCTCTCCCTCTCTCACTCTCTCTCTCTCTCTCTCTCTCTCTCTCTCTCCTCCTCTCTCTCTCCCTCTCTCCCTCTCTCACTCTCTCCCTCTCTCTCTCTTCCTCTCTTTCTCTCTCTCTTTTTTAAATTTATTGATTAAGGTATCACATATCTGTGGAGTCCTCCTTCGGCGACTGATCATTTTCACAGACATTCCTCTCCTCCGGAGACAGCGCGCTGACCCCGAGTGGCTGAAAGGTGTGAGAGTCACTGACCGCCGCCTCCCGCACGCCCCCTGCTGGGACGGAGCCGGCCACCCGGGCCTGTGCCCTGACCGGGATCGAACCTGGTTTCCAACTGGATGCTCAGCCCCTGAGCCCCGCCCGCCGGGCTGTGCGCCTTTTCAGAACACGCCGCTCCTCCCTCCTGTCTGGAACGGCAGGCCCCGAGCCCCGTGCCCGTGACGAGCGACAAGCACGCGTGTGCGTGCCCTCGGCGTGTGCGTGCCCTCGGCGTGTGCGTGCCCTCGGCGTGTGCGTGCTCCAGGACCGCGCTGACACGGCGCTGACACGCAGCGGTGCCCCCGCCCGCCCGTCCCGCGGCCGGAGTGAGTGAGCGGCGTGGGCGTGTGGGGGCGTCTGCACGTCCTGGGTGTTTTCTCTTTGGGTGAAATTTTTTTAAAAAATATATATTTTATTGATTTTTTACAGAGAGGAAGGGAGAGGGATAGAGAGCCAGAAACACCGATAAGAGAGAACCGTCGACCAGCTGCCTCCTGCACCCCCCTCCCCCACACTGGGGATGATGTGCCCGCCACCAAGGTCCATGCCCCTTGACCGGAATCGAACCCGGGACCCTTCCGTCCACAGGCCGACGCTCTATCCACTGAGCCACACCGGTTTCGGCGGTGTTTGCTTTTTGAAACCGGGGTGTGGAGGGGGGTGTCCTGCCTGTCTCTTCCCCTACATGGCTGCCCCCCCTTTCCTGTCACCACAGCACAGGCATGTCCAATTGTCAAAGGAGACAGAACCGCCCCCCGGCGGGGAGCAGCCGGGAGCCGCCGGCTTCCCGTGCACGAAAATGAGAAATTAATTCCGCTGGACCGGAACCGACATCAAAGGGCTGCTCCCCCTGCATCGGAGCGGAGTGTGTGGGCCCAGGAGGGGGTGTCCTCTTGGTTCGCGCCCCCTCACTCCCCCCCCCGCCCCGCAGAGGGACTGCTGGGTGCCGAACCCTCTCCTGACCCGAGGCCTCAGCCGGGAGCCCGGTCTGATTATCTATGCCGGCAGCCGGCAGCGCCTCGGACCCGGGCCCCGGAGGGTCCCGGAGTCACTGCGCGCAGGCTCGCCCCGGCGGAATACAGGCTGAGCTTTTCTCTCCTCCGCCAGACAGCGTCTTAATTATGTTGTCCTCGGGCTGCTGCGAGGGCGGCTTTGCGTGCCTGGAGTTCACGCTAATGAGGAGGAGGGAGGGATGCGTGAAGAGGCGGGGGCGGGGGCGGCCCCGGGGCGTTCAGCGGACGCGGTCGCCCCGCGGTGACCCCGCCCAGCACGCCCGGTCAGGGACGTGCTCTGTCTGTCCTCGCCTCCTGGGGGCGGGGTGACCGGTGCCTCCCCGCAGGGGCAGGTCGGTGTGGTGGCCGCTCCCCGGCCGCAGCCTGTCCGTCTCGGCGGTCAGGGCCGCGTCCCCGGGGTCCCAGGCGGGCTGGCCCCTGAGGCTGGCCCCTGACCCCGCTGAGTCGGGCGGGGAGGGGTCCCGGGGGCTCGGCGGGAAGGGAAACCCTGCCAGGCCCTGCCGCGGGGCCGCTCAGGGACACGGACCCCTTGCCCGGTGAAGCCGGAGGAGCGTGTGTCCAGCAGAGCAGCGGTGACCAGGGCGTGCGGGGGCCACCCCCCCCCCAGATCTCCCCCAGCAGCTTGGTCCCCTCCCCGGAGCACCCAGGCGCCCGCCCGCCTCTCCGCGGGGCTCCTCCGCCACGGGCTTCGCTCTCAGCGCCCCGAACCGTAACCGGCGCCGTGGGTGCCCTGGGCCGCAGACAGGACCTCGGGCGCCATCATTCAGGTGTCCTTCCGGGTCCCCACAGCGCACCCCAGTGTCCCGTCCCGTCAGCACCATGGACAGTGCGCTGCCATTTCCTCCCTCCACCTCCACTGCTGTCACCTAGTCAGCCCCGTGTCCCGGGGCCACGGGACCCCGCCTGCTCCTGCTCCCCGAGCCCACTGCCTGCCTGGGCACCCGGGGGTGCCAGCCCCAGGGGCGGGGCTTGTGCTGCCCACGCTCAGCCCAGTGCTGACTATGGCACCTGCAGCTCTGACGTCAGCACGGCACGTGCGTCACGCCCAGCCCAGGGCTGAATACAAAGCACCTGCAGTTATGACATCAGCACGGCATGTGCCTCATGCCCGGCCCAGGGCTGACTGCAGGGCACCTGCAGCTCTGACGTCAGCACGTCACGTGCGTCACGCCCAGGGCTCCCCGGCGCCCCCTGGAGTCGGCGTGAGGCCCTTTCCACCACTTCCGTGTCAGCAGGTCACCCGCCTGCGGCCGTGTCCCCGCGGACCCTCCGTTCACCGGGAAGCTCAGGTCGCCCCGCTCCCGCTGGCGTCTCCAGGAGACACATCCGGGCTCGCCGTGACGGGCAGAGCGGGCGCCTTGAAAAGCCTCCGTTTCTCCGACGGGTGATGGATCACGACCTGCGGCCCATCCGTCCGTCCGGCCCCACAGCATCCGTCCAGCTTTACAACTTCCTCTCCGGATCGCAGCCCATTTCGCTGAAGACACGTCCCCTCTTCTCCGAATCCCTGTGGCAGGCTGGCCGCACCCGGGCCACAAACGCATGACGAGTGCCAGGAGCGGCGATGGAATAGGCGTGTTTTTTTTAAATTTATTGATTTTTTTACAGGGAGGGAGAGAGAGAATTACTGTAGAAACATCGATGAGAGAGAAACATCCATCAGCTGCCTCCTGCACACCCCCCACTGGGGAAGTGCCCGCAACCAAGGTCCATGCCCTTGACCGGAATCGAACCCGAGACCCTTCAGTCCGCAGGCCGAGGCTCTATCCACGGAGCCACACCGACAAGGGCTGAAAGAGGTTTTTCATCCCAGACAGACCCTACAAGGACAGCGCTTAGGGTGGGCGAGCAGAATAGTTTTTATTCACAGTGGCAGTGGGTGTGGGGGAAGCCCATTGCGGGGCCCTGTGTGAGCAGGCAGAAACGCCGTGGAATATTCTGGAAAGATGGTCTCTGTGTCGCCCGAAAAGGCTCTGCGGACGCCTGCCGCGGCTCAGGTCCATTACGCGGGCGCAGTCATTAGTGGGCCGGAGGACCTCGTTAGACCACATTAAGTGTGTGTTTAAGCTGTAGTGGAGACACTTGATGTTAATGACATGCTCGGTCCAATTAAGACTCAAATTGATGGCCACTCTCGCTTTCCTTGAGAGCGGAACTGGGTACTGAGTTCCTTTCCCCCCCTCCTCCGCCAAAGAACAGTCCTGGCCAGGCTACGCACCTCACAGCTGCTTCGTTAGGTGTTATGTGCGTAAAACAGAGTCACTATTTTATTTACACCTCGATGAGTTTGAATGAATTTAGATGGTTGTGTCGACATCCCATCCGCTCCTCGCAGCCCGCCCTGCCCGCTGCCCGCCTGTGGCTTGTGGCTCTCGACCCCTCACCCTTCCCGGACAAGGCGGGTTCGGTGTGACCAGATGCTGTGAGCTGCTTCTGCACGGCTGTCCCTGAGGAAAGCTGGCCTGCCGTGCCCCATCTTTAAGAATTTACACAGACAGCCCTGGCCTGTGTGGCTCGGTGGGTGGAGCATCGGCCTGCAGACGGAAGGGTCCCAGGTTGGATTCCCGGTCAAGGGCACAGGCCCGGGTTGCCGGCTCTCATCATTGATGTTTCTACCTCTCTCTCCCTCTCCCTGCCTTTCATATTTTATAAAAATATAAAAATATTTTTTAAAAAAGAAAGAGAGAGAGAGAGAGAGATGGCGGACGGCCCGTGTCCCCGCGGAGACCGGGCAGGCTGCCGGCGAGGGTGTCAGGGCCGAGGCCTCGGTGCTGGGCGCGGGAGAACCGTCGCGGTGCGCGCTCGCCGGAGCCCGAGGCTCGCCCGCGGCTGGAGGAAGCGTTTCTCGGGAGCCTGTTCTGTCTGCCGCTCAGCCGCCATCAAAGGATGAGAACCCCCGGGCGCTGTGGTTTTCTCAGCCTCTTTTCTCCGCCGGGAGAGTCTTTTAATGCGTCCTGAGCAGCCCCTTCCCGGTCCCTCAGATCGCCGCCAGCCAATCCGAGCCGCCGCCCGGGGGGTCCCTGAGCCGCTCCCCTGGGGCGTGAGCGCGCTCTGCCCACT